CCGAAGTCCCATTGGTCCGACGTCCCATTGGTCCGACGGCCCATTGCTCTTTACGTTCCATTGGTATAAACGTCCCATTGGTCCGACGGCCCATAGGATTAGGGTTAGGGATAGGGTTAGGGTCAGTCAACCTGAACAAGTGGATTATGTTTCGGACCAATGGGACTTTGGACTAATGGGACTTCGGACCAATGGGACTTCGGACCAATGGGACTTCGGACTATCGAGACGTAACCACATGGAATCACCCACTATCTACTATCCATACTCTCAGCTTTGTTCGCGCCAAACCTGCTCAGCGCTTGGCGGTAAACTTATAGCACTCAGCTACTTTCAAAGGCATTTAAACAGTCATGCGGGCGCGGGGAGATGATCCTGAAAAAATCCAACTGAATGTCACCGCCGTGCCTTACGGGGATACACCTTGTTAATTCGCTTGGCTCGTGTTGTTGATGCTCCGTGCTTGTACATCGCTTTAGTAGCCTCGCTCAACAACACCATAAAGCGAAACAAACAGGCGTCTCTCGATGATAGACGATCAAGCATTACTGGTTATCTGCTTATAGTGAAAACCTCTTCTGGGAATCTTACAGCGGCGGCAGTCAGCTGAGTGATGGAAGAAGTTGGGCTTAAAGTGAACTTCAATCATGACTAGAACAGATGCAGTGGCAAACACACTTGCAACTGGGAGACTTAATACCGAGTCAATGGACTCCTTCCACAGTGCCCCTCACTGTTTTCGTTTCATTTAATTTCAATGGCAATGAAAGTACAAATGTACATTACTCATGCGTTCCACGGAGGATTAAATACCTGCCCTGATGCAGATGTGACGTCGGGTGGAAGAGGTCTATCACAAGTCAAGTCAAGTCAAAAAGGGGATAACCGTGACAACAAGGGAATAATTACTTTGCTCGTTTGCATGGCTTTGTCAATTGACTTGAGGATTGGATAACTTGTGATTGACTTGGGATGCCTTCATTGGAATTCACGAAGCCCCTTCAGTGGCGACATCGTGGTGCTGGTTATTGTTCAGATGGGGTCCGCCCAATAGTCCGAACTATCGAACGTTCGGACTATGATCGGGGGACCCCGACTACTTCATACGCGCACGCAAGTCCTTGTCATCTTTTGTATAGGTCAAAATCTACATTTAAATAGACTCTTAAAAACTTGACATTTCATTACAGAAATAGCACACAAAGTCAGCAATTAAAACTTGAACTCTGCAACAGGTGCTACAAATAAACAAATTAAAAAAAACCGACAGTGTCCGGTCAGGGACATTTTATTGACATTTCAATGGCCTCTTCACAACATTTGCTGGGCGCTATTTTAAAGTCAGGCCATCATTTGCAGCCATCCAAAAAGTAACTGACGAAATTATTGTTGAAAAGCACACTGGGTTTTAAATATATATAGTATTGCGTCTAAAGACGCATTCTTGGAAATTTCCTTTAGTAGTTCAACCGTTTATAATTTGGCGAAAAATTTGTAAATGGGTGCGCGCAAGCGTTGACACGACGCACACGCGCGCGCACTATTAGGCCTGTAGACCTTTCTTTTGTTTGTAAACATTGGCGCCATTTTATATAGGCTGCCGCAAGTACATAAATTGAAGCCGTGGTTGGCCGTTATTTTTCAAAAAGAACGTCCTCATAACACCTTCAATACAATACAATAATAAAGAGGCATGTGTAGAAATTATGTTGAATGTTTGTTGACAATGTTGTATTTCCAAGTATCAAATAATATTGTGGTTATCGGTGATAACTCATCTTCATGTTTGCAGTGTTGGACCTTCCATGCAACCCGTGGTTGGCAAAATGTGCAGTTGCCAACCAAGCGTAGAAAGGTCTTATAGTTTAGTATGGGTAACATCGCGTAGCTGCAATCGGCTCAGTGAGAACGTGTCCCGGACGCTGATTTCGGGCTTCGCTCGTACCCCCCGCCCTGCAAACAGGATCCTGTTTGCAGGGCGGGGGTACGAGCGAAATTTCGGGCGCATTTCAAAACATGACTCGGCAAGTTAGTTGAATTGAAATCCAGATCCTAGAATATTGTTTTCTCGGGATATACAACATTCACTGAGCTGAAACTTCATCGGGTTAGTTGTTCAGCACCCTTTCTCAAATTTTGAGCACTTTTTGCTTCAAACGAAAAAAAAAATGCACAAATTACAAATGATGGACTTTACCTTTAATTAATCAGGTTGGGACCAAGACAGCTGCATGGCGCCGTTGGTTACGCCCAAACGCTTTTGAAAAAATAATTAGGTCTGTCGTACTTACCCTACGAGCTATCTCTGCAGAGCTGTAGGCCTTTATGAGTTCCATATACAATTGATTCAAAGTGTAAATTGAAAATCGTGGGTCGTGAAGGAATGGAATTCAACATATTATCCACTCGAAGTCAGTGCGTTTGCAAAATGCTGGTACTAAACTGCACACAAATTTTCTTCCATTGATACGGAATGGCTGTTCACTGTTAGTCTTTTCATGCATGTGGCTTACACAATGGGTCGGATTTGGCCCTTTCGTTGGCATGGCATCACGAGCATAATCCTATTTCGAAGTTAAGGGCAAGGTGAAATCTAAGCAATAATACTTTGGCCCTAGAATAATAATATCGATTTACAGGGCGCACATATCAACCAAACGGGTTTGCATGGCGCGGTACAATTGGGCCAGTGAAACACTCCAAAGACCATCTCAGCTCCCTAGGGAGTACACAGCTCAATGTTGCCATATCGGCACAATCGGCTAAATCAAACACGACCATCTCTACCCCCTCCTGGGTGGGGAGAAGCAATGAGGCCCAAAAAAAAATAGTTCTGCTTCCGATTACATGGCATTCGAAAAAAGGGTAGGTAGGTAGGGAATTTTTTTGGCATTTTTTTTTTAGTGTATGATCATGGAAGCGTCTGCGTGTAGTCAAGGGTAAAAGGTATAGTAATTGATGGTTTTGTGTGTTTTTTTCTCATAACAAAAATTAGGGTAGGGGCTGTCAGAATAGGGTAGGTAGGGAAACCGGAAGCAGAACTATTTTTTGGGCCTGAGTGATAAAGTGTCTTGCCAAGGGCACATGCACCATGACCTCAGGCTGGACTCGAACCCACAACCTGCAGAATTACCCACAACATCATGAGTTCAATGCACCAGACCTTGAGGCCACGGTACTCCACATAAGTGTAATTCATAAGTGACATTCAGTGAGTCATTTTCAGTGAGTTGCTGAGGTACGAAGAGGACAGTAAGCTGACACTCATAATTATGTGGGACAAGGAAAAATACCCATCTAAAATTATCCCTAAGCGTCACAGATGACAGTAACCTGAATATCCCTACATATATGACGAGCCCGCTCCCCTAAGATTATCCCCACCCACAACTGAAGTTTATACAGAATCGAGTCCCCAAATTTACTCCGTCTGGCTTGCTGTCATTTAGAAGAAATCAAGAAATTCAGGTGATTTCCAACGATAAGTCAATTGACTGATTTTTTTGGGGGAAATAGAGATATAGAGACGAAATCGTGCTTCGTGATCAGTAGGTTTCGGTTTTTCACTGTTTTCTCGATAAGACTTATATCCACTGAGCTGAAACTTCAACAGGTTATAGGTTCTGAACATTCTTCTTTGGATTCTGACTGGTTGTTGAGGAGATAGCGTGCGAGCTCCACTGAACAACGAATGACACTCAGACTAGCCTACGACTTAACAGGGTGTCAAAATCTAATCAACTGCATGGCTTTATCAGATATATTTAATGAAAAATGTGCGCTAAATGACATTGGTTTCGCAATTAGTTTCGTCGCCTGGGAAACATGAAAAGATTCTACATTGATTCGCAGGATTGGCTTCAGTGTCTGCGTAAAAGGAATGCAATTAACGCACAAAGCGTGGAATTGGACACTTAATCACCTTAACAATTATTTTTCTTGGGGAAAAGGCAGTTAGGGGATGTAGCTACATTCTAAATATGTGTCGCATGGGAGATGTGTAGATTGAATTCTTCTCCAAATGACTGGTAATTCTTGTGTGCGTGAAAAGCAATTACATTTTCGTACATGGAGCGTCCAAATGGGTATAGGCCTAGTGGTGGTGTGATATGAAATATTAGTGTATTCGTTTGAATTTTTGTGATTTTTTTTTTTATCATGCAAGGATTACTAAAAACTAAAAAAAAGAAATTATGTTATTAAAAGTATATGTCATTTGACAGCTATAATTATAAAATTGGAACTACAATAATGAGAAAATTGCGCAATGAGATTGTAGTTTAACCACACGCCATTTAAAAAAAAACTAAACTAATATGTTAAGTCTGAAATATATTTCAAAGTAGTCGGCCTAAATAACTTTCAAAGTTGTATTGTAAACTTTGCACACATCCAACAAAAGTTAGAGTTTGTCATTCGATATAAACAACATGCGGCAAACTATTGGAAAAAAAGAGACTCATCCGATTGAGGATAAATTGGAACTCAGTGCATTTCTTTTCGCATTTAAACGCCAATTAGCAAGCTACAATTGTTGAGCATGATATGCATTTTCCCTTTCATCCAAAAATAAATGTGAGACTTCATAGTACAAATACATGCATGCTTGAGGAAGGCCTATAGATCAATATTAGGCACGCTTTCAAGTCTAACACGAAACCCCCTTCAAAACGAGGAAGCATTGTTCTAGCTATTGTTAAAACAAATAATTGTAACAGCCTTAGAAGAGCAGTTGCTTTATGTACGATGAACGAGCACATCATTGGGTTCCTTCATTGAGAGGTGCCGTGCGCGTGACGCGAGTGTACAGTGACGTGTCCGCATTCGTCTATGTACACGTGGATGAACACAGAACCACGGTGAAGGTTCAATAATCACATCATCACACACTACCTAAAAACTAGCATTTCTAGGATAATAAGCAACTCCCACACCAGCCTACTTAACGCATTGACTCATGATCATTCTGAAACTAAAAGGAAGTCAGGAAGAATACGTACCTTGAATTATTTGCTGGCTTCGTCGTTTATAATCCTCGTCGTCACGTTTTTCGTAAATCTGCGTACACAGACCCATTGCGAGCTAGTCCAATAAATCAGCATACCACCACGTCACCAGCAAACTACACTTTTCTTCTTCCACAGCTAGCAACATGTGGCCGGCCGGGTGCGTGCCAATCTTTACTTGGAATTAAAAAAAAAAATATTTTTTGCTTTTTCACGCTCAGTCAACTGTGACGGTTGCCGTCCGTTGGCCTCTTCACAGCAAGTACAGATTTAGAAAGCCAAGGGGTTAGGCCAAAAAAAAAAGTCTCCGGTTTCTGGTATGCGCGCGCGTCGCCGTAGCCATGTGCGTCGGCAAAATGAAAAAGTTTTTTTTTCAATACAAGATGATGTCTCAAAACCGCCAAACTCACTGGTTTGACTGGAATTCTGCTGCTGCACAATTTTAACGTGTTTTTAGATGGGGTTATGATCGAGAATAAGCTTTATGTAGCCTCTCTGGACTCCCATATGTTTGCACTAAGTTTAGTCGGGCACCATTTGCCGTCATCAGCCGACATTTGAAGCCAAAAAAAAAAAAAAAAACAGGTAAAAAAAAAAAAAAGCTGCGTCGCCGCACCACTTTTGGGGCCAGCTCCATACCAGAAACCGGAGACTTTTTTTTTTGGCCTTATCGTGAATAGAGTGTTGTGCACAGCTGAATGACCGACCCAGTTTCAATTTGAAAGCATTTATAATAGTTAACTTGAACAGCTCAGTTGAACACCAGTGCAATTTCTGGGTAGTGTTGCGCCCCAAGTAGACGATCGGTCCCAACTACTAAAGTTGGGACTATCCCAACTGAACTTCTGAACCGTGGTCCCATGTCAGCTTAAACTTGGGAATACAGTCTAGTTGGGGCGTAACAGAGGTTTCTGCTAAGCTTGGCAAACATTTGCTTAGCAAAATAAACAGGCCACAAACTAAAAACCCACGTTAAAAGTGTACATGAAAATTATGTTTTTGTTAGGAACACATTTTGTGCGACTTAATTTCTACTCGATCCTCTTAGGCCTAAATATTCAAAAGTGCACTTCTTTAGAGTGCATTTTAACTTCACTGGGACCCGTTGGAGATCAGTTCTGATAAAAGGACAGCTGAGGGCGCTGTTGCTGTGATGTCATTTCAGGAAGACAGTGTTTTAGGAGTTTTCTGTTCAAATGTGAACCGTCCCCCCAAAATCTGCTTATTGAAAACTCGTGAGAAGCGTTTGCTCATTGGCTTACTGCTATGTACTGACACAACAACGCATCACAAAGAAAAGAAAATTTAAAGCAAAAATATCAAAAATTCTGGTAACTTTTTGCGCTGAACTAACAGTACCATAGAGGTTTCTTCCTGAAATGATATCACACTTTTTGCTCATGAACATGAACAATCGTATTAGCATAACAACCAAAAAGGCACCAAATTACCCTTGGAAATGGCAGAACGAAAATTGAAAATAAAGTTAAATGGGACACAAAAATCCATTTTCTGCTCAATAGTTTCTGCTTATACCAGCTTAATGAAATATGGCCCAGTTGGTATCATTTCAGAAATTACGCGCCTGAAAGGAAGGCAAGGCAACACTTCCCCTGGTTCTTTTCAGCATCCAACAAACTCACAAAAGAGATTTGTTAAATTGTGCAATCCTAAAATCTAATCTAAATGCTATCATCACCATAAAACTTTCCAATCTTATCTAACACTAATCAATTTGGGTAGCAGACCAGTAAATGAGCCGCTATAGACCCAGTGGTGCCCCCCCCCCCCACCCTAAAAAATTCAGGAAAAATGCCCACAACTCTCCAACGTATTTGAGACACATTAAATTAAAGCTTATTTCATCACCTTTCATTTTCTGCTCAAGTTTGTGGAGGTTAATCAGTCACTTTTGGGAGGAAATATCATCCAAAGATGATTACCCCTAAAGTAGCCCTGATGCCCATCGCCATTTCAAAAAAAATATGCCTACGCTCCATTGCAAAATAAAGCTTATTTTAGTTATAGACCTACAAGTTGTTCAATGACACTCAACAAAAGCACACGAAAGGGAATTAGAATGTAGAAAAAGTGTAACCTTTATTATACAGAGAGCTTAACATCCATCAACGGTTACGCACAGTCTTACACGGCGTGTAGTTCTCATCAGCAAAATTTAAACACTAAAAAGGTCAAACGAATCGGTTCCGTTTTTGAAGTGACGAACGATGCAAAACAATCAACTACACTTCTGTTCAACAAAATGGGTAGATAACTTTATACATGCGGATTACAATAAGTAAACTATTTGTTCCAGTTCGGATGGATAAAAAGCGAATGAAACAATTAACAACAAAAAAGGTAACATTGTTTCTCGTATACCTTGCACAACTGGAATTTGCTGGGGTCAAAAACACCACCACCCCAGGCCCATGAAATTTAGAAGGGCAAAGAACACCATTTCAAAAAAACATAGTGTGATGTGATAAAAAAAGAAACATGAAAACAAAAAGCTATATCACCCCTGTACTGTACAGTTTGTTGAAGAAACCGATTTGAAATGGAAACATTTTTATATGCTGAAAAAAAACCCTGAACTTAATTGACATTTGACTTTACTTCGGCTTGTAAGCTAGACATTATTGATCAGTCGGCTGCGCGTTAATTATTTGTCAATGGACCGGAACAATGTTCACATCACACGAGGCAATTTACAGGCAGAATCGTTCCAGACAATCTACCCGACGACGTCAGGCAATTTTGATTCCCATTTTGTTTTTGAGAAAGTTTCGTATGCTGTTGCAAACAAGTAGGGCCTAATTCATTCTCCTAGGAGTTTCTATAGCTAGCACTTGCAGTAAATTCGTTGCCTCAAAAATTGCCTGTGAAAATTGCTTCGTGATGATGTGACTTGGCCCAAATTCAAAACAGCGCTGTACAAAAACGAGCAATCAATTACGAGTGAACCACACAGATGTGAACTATTCTTGATTCACAACTAGTTCCTTTAAAAGGGTCTACATAATCCTTTTTTCTGGCCGTCTATTTCCGACGCTTCTTGAGCAACTACCTGTCTTGTCTTTACAACGATCTTTTCCGCAGTGTTTTCTGGCTGAATGCCCAGCAGCTTATGTAATGTTTTTTTTTCCCCTTACAACAAAGGAAACTGTACATCATAACAAAGTTTATACAAGAGAATTATGACCATGTCATTTTAAGAATAAAGTGGCTCACCTTTTAACTTCATGTGAACATTTTTAACACATTTTCTGAGTAGAGATGAGGAAAAACATCAGGAATAAAAAACGACTCGAGAAGCGCTTTTCGATGTACTGCTTTATAATATCCAATGGATTGCTTTTAAAGCAAACGGCAAGGCAGAGAATCTAAGGCTGTTTCCAAGTTTGGGGCTAAGGCTAAAGGGTATTTACAATGGTTTGTTAATGTTGATGCGTCCAAGATGCAGCCTAGCCACTAGAAAAGCCTTAGCAAGTGACCTGTTTTCGCAAAAGCAAAAACTGAGCTGAGTATACTTTTACAAAAGAACACCATACAAATGAAGGTTTCAATTTTTTGTGATCAGTGATCAACTTTCAGTGAAAAAAACTCTCTTTAACCAGAGAAAAATTACAAAGTAATGCTGATTTCATCTAACAACTTTAAACAATGAAAAATGCATTAACACCAGAACATCACTTTAACAAACTCTTGGAGCTGTGGTCAAAATTGAAATATAAAAAAAACAATATTTACAGAATCAACTATCAACTTTATGGAGAACTTCAAGTTTATGGATAGAAATGTATGAAACAAAGAACAAGTGAGACCACTTAAAGGAAATAACAACTGTACAGAATTCGGCAGTTTGAGAAAAACAGATTTTTTTCCCTCTTATTCTTTCCTTTTTTTCTTTTGTGACAAAGTGAATAGACTTTCCGTTCAGCAGCCATGTTTGAGGTGTTTGTTGTCGCGAAGATTGGGCTGACAGGCCTTTCTTTATAGTTGCAAACTTATATCGCTTGTATCTTTTAATACAGCAATTAAACAAAACAAAAGTCCAAATGTGTATAGACAGGCTTGACACACATTTATACAAGTCATAAGGTAAACTATGCTTGCAGAATTAAGCTATAAGTAAAGCTAGCGAGAATGCTGATAAATGTTTGATAATGGCGTGTATGTTTTCATCCATTCTTTTCCAAAACTCAATTAACCCTAACCCCCTAGGCCCTTTTGGCTAGGAACCATACTCAATCCCGCAAAATCCTCCAACTGCTACCATGTAAAAATTGGATTCAGCCTCAGTACTCCAAAATCATTTATCGTTTCTTGAATTTGTTCAGTGGAGGGGTGACCATTTCCTCAATCCTTCAAAATTCTCTGACAATCGCTGTTAATGGGTTGTTGAGGCAGTGCCGATGACATTCAGAAGCAGTGCGGATGATAACGAGCATAATACAGGGCTTGTGCATGGCTGATAAACAATGCTGGGTACGGCCTACGAACTCGACACAATGCATCCTCCAAAATCAACTGACACTTTTTTTGCCGTTCAGCCTCAATCCTCAAAAATCCTCCAAAACACTTGGAGGATTGAGGAGGATTGAGGAGGGTTTATATGGTTCTTAAGACACGAAAAGCTGCTGTGAACTGCTTACTGACTGAAGTGATCTGAAATTTACAAATTATAAAAGTTCCGGAGCCTGGTAATTTTTAGGCATCTGCTACATACAAAACCTCGTTCAGGTCCTCTGACTTTTACAAACAGTTTTAAGCATATAGGGTATTGCTAAGGTTATTCATGTTAACAGTATAAGCACACTATCTTTGGGATGAGCTTGGAACCATATGGACTCCTTGCGCAAACAAAAGATGGCGCTCTTTAACCACTTTCACCATGCGCACTGGTTTATGCACGTATGGCGCAAAGTACGCATTATCTTTATTCCCAATGAGCATAAACCAGTGACGTCTTCGCGTGAGTGCTGGACACGATGGGGATACATTTGAATCTTCCTCCCAATGGTCTCCCCAACTCTAACTTTGTAACGTTGAGCGGGTACTTGTGTACGGAGTCCATAGCACAGACATCTTAAAAACCTAGACCCTACACTTGCCTGCAATTTCTGATATCAAGACGTTGCATCCTGTAAGCGGCATCCTGTACGCGAATTACGCTCATTGTACGATGCGTGCCTTATTTACGATCAGAATGAGCATCTGTACACAAGATGGCGGTTATAGAATGCAGCGTTTTGATATCAGAAACGCACAACGTAAAAACATACAAATGTCAGGTCTAGGTTTTTAAGATGTCAAAGGTCCATAGTTAAAGAAAGAACCACAAAAACTGGTCCGTAATTAAGGTCTGACCACGCGCATTCCGTTACCGATGATCCTCCCCTGTGGCAGGGTGTAAGGGTGGTGGTTGAGCATCTGTCGGACCGGTAAGGGAGCAGACATCCGCGGGGCTTGGACGTACTGGATCAAAGTCTGCATGGGTTGGGTGTTCGCCGGTGGCATCGGCTGTTGCATAACCTGCTGCACTTGCTGCTGTAGGGTCTGGTGTAGTGGTGGTTGTTGCTGCTGCGGTTGGTTGGCAGGCTGGTTGAGTTGGTGGAGTGCCTGATGGTTAGCCGACTGGTTGAGTTGCTGTTGGATGGTGGGCTGTAAGTTGGAGTGGAGCTGCATGGGTACTGGCTGGTTTGGCTGTAGGAAGGGGTAGTAGACAAAGAGTAGAACAGAAAAGAGAAGGAACCAAAAAATTTAGACTCGAAACCTTGGGGAAATGAACCAAGGAAGGTTTTTGGGAGTGGTAAGATGATGGTTCTGAGAAGAAGATGGAGATTTCATCGTAATTCAAAGCAGAAATGAGATTTCGAGTGTCGGGGAACGAACAATGACAAAGGAATGACTTTGTCACAGTACATTGGAGTAGCTTCTGACTTGACTTGAGAATGAACTCACTGGAAGACTTATGATTTTAATGATTGACTTGTAATTGACTTGTAATTGACTTGTGATTAACTTGTGATTGGCTTGTGATTGACTTGTGATTGACTTGTAATTGACTTGTAATTGACTTGTGATTAACTTGTGATTGGCTTGTGATTGACTTGTGATTGACTTGTGATTGACTTGTGATTGACTTGTAATTGACTTGTGATTGACTTGTGATTGACTTGTGATTGGCTTGTGATTGACTTGTAATTGACTTGGGATTGACTTGGAATTGACTTGGGATTGACTTGGGATTGACTTGGGATTGACTTGGGATTGACTTGGGATTAACTTGTGATTGACTTGGGATTGACTTGGGATTGACTTGTAATTGACTTGTAATTGACTTGTGATTGACTTGTGATTGACTTGTGATTGACTTGTGATTGACTTGTGATTGACTTGTGATTGACTTGTAATTGACTTGTGATTGACTTGTGATTGTCTTGTGATTGACTTATGATTGACTTTACTTTAACTCTGTTTTACGCACGGGCATCCAGAAGCCTCTCACATTGCCTTGTCTACATCCCAGAACTATTTACTTATAACTGAAAGGTTCAGAGTCTGGAGTGCTGAATGGCAACGCATAGCAACCAGTGAAACGAACATGCTAATGAAAAGATGCTTTCACCGGCTGACTTTTATTACCCTAACCCTGCCAGACGCAACACAGTGCATCAGGTGAAAAGTCTGGTGCACTTTTGATGCATCAGCTATTAATACCAGTGCAAAAACGGCCACTTCCGAGACAATGAGAGCTACAATCCCGGCCAAAATGGTTGGGACACTTGGAAATAACCTTAGCCTTCCACAGTCACCCACTCCCCTGCTCCCCCGGTCAATGTTGTTCTCTTAAGCTGATGGAGCACACACCCCGCAATGAGAGACAACATTGACAGGGGGCCGGGGGGGGGGGGGGGCAGCGAGATTTGGCCAGGATTGTAGTCCCACAGAACATATATTGCCACAGTTGTATCCTGCTGCATGCAGTGACCACAGACTCTGAGGCAGTTTGGCCTTGAGACTCATTGCCCGATGGATCTTGCTGCACTGGGCAGGCTTGTCACTTATGTGTTGCATGTTGCTGCATTTGGCAGGGTATCTGGCCTAAATACCCTGGATGGTGATGGTATAATGCTGTGCTGTCCTGTAGTAAACGTTCACAATACTGTCAGACAAGCTGATCATTGGTTTCTTTGCCTGAAGATGATCAGAGCGCACTCATTGAAACGTTGGATGTTTACAGATTCCTTCTTTCAGAACCATTTTCTTACCACTCAAAAACTATGCCTTAGCAAAACACATCAAATTGAAAGCTTGAAGCTAGTAGAACCAAAATGCAAACTTAAAGGAAATGCTTTCATTCGTATGTGTACCTGTAATAGTAGTCAGGAAATGAAAGGTTACAGGTGAATTAATTAATCAAACCAGGGCCCAATTTCATAGCGCTGCTAAGTACACGATTTTCTGCTATTAAACAGTACCACCTTCTATTTCATGGAGATCGTAAGAAGTAAGCATGTAAGAAGTAAGCACACAAAAAGGCACGCTTCTCAGGGGAAAAGTTGCTTAAAGTAGAGATGTAACAATAGAAATCTCCATGCATGCGCAATCCGCACCATGAAATAGTGCTTATAGTTTCATACCAAAGTTTTCTGCTATAGTTTGCATAACTTTTCTGCTAACTGTTAAGCAACGCCATAGAATTGGGCCCAGGAACTAAATGACGTATGGTAAACAAAGAAAAAGAACAAAACCCCTTTCGAGTATGAAATGTAAGATCCATAGAAATTTGATTGCGCATCCAAATATCTTGCTGCAACAGAACAAAAATTAAAATCACTGGAAAAAGGCGGAAAATTTCTGAGTAAATTCATTATTGTTTAATATTTCGAAACAGTAAAAACATTCCATGAACTCAACTCAGAACTCAAGAGAAAAAGAACTAGATACTTTTAGGACCCTTCTATCTTTTCGCTGCTGCTATTTTTATGGAGATCAACTGTTACGTTTGCATCAGTTGTCAACCGAATGGTAATAGGACTTTACTTCCCTTTTGAAAAAGATCCTTTAGAGCCATGAATCAGAAAGAAACATTGACTCTTGCCTTTGCCATTTGTTTAGGTGAGTGCAAAACATAGAGGGTCCTAAAAGTTACTATCGCTAGAAAAAGGGCATACCAATGCGGAGCCATGTTGCAACCAACTTAAAAACCAAAAACAGAAAATAAACCAAATAAATCAAAAACGCACCTGTCATGTGTGAAAAACAATCACCTGATATGAAAAGAAAAACCCTTACAATATTAATGTTTATGATTCATATTTACAAAGATACTAAAATATCCAGCCAAAAACAAATAAATCATTGCTGTTTTGATGTACTGTTAGTTTGCAGTATGTTGTAGTCAATGTAAATTTTCTCAGCTAATTTTCTAAAATGTTCATTCACTTTTGAAAATCAGTCACTCATATTTGCCTGAATTTGAATGCACGTCTTAAATCCCATTTCAAATCAACAAAAGTTCGATCATTGTCCGTGCATTTAGTTTTGAGAAACAGACGGCCAATTAGGTTACCTGGGCATTCATTTATGCAAGCATACCTTTTCAAAATTGATTCAGGTACAGCTAATTTGATTGATGGTTAATGAAAAAGAAACCCATAATTGTATCTGGTGCCGATGGCATTAAACTAAAAGTGAAATAGAATGGTGATTGTTTGAAATCGCTCTCTGATTGAAAGCGAAAAGAAGTCTTGTAATCAAATCTGAATGAACATAAACGAAAAGTGCTGCTCAGTCACTTAATTGATTGAACTGAAATGGAATCAAATGCTCTGGTAGCGAAAATGAAATGGGTATTCAGATTGATTCTCTAATTCAGACGAAAATGAATGACCGATTTTCAGAAGTGAATGAACATTTTAGGAAATTGGCCGGGAAAACCTACACATTATGTACTCGTGTGTAATCTGACATACATGTACGTACTTCACAACATTTAAGGTAGCCTAAGGGGCATTAAGTCATGTGAATGTAAAATCACTTTCATTTTCATTGCATGTAGGTCCCTACTAGTACCTGTCATTTGCACCCACCCCCCCCCCCCTCAAAATGTCAAATTTCTTTCATGGTCTCAAATTCCTCTCCACCGTTTTGATCCCATTTAGTGACGCGTGGGAGCATTCCAGCCCCTATAAGCTCACATATTTAATCCTATCAACGTGAGCCTCTGCACTTTCGAAGCCAATAATGAAGACGCTTGAATGCGACTCGACGATCAAAGGAACAAAAAAAAAAATCACGAATCAAAATTTTCCACATCATGCTCTTCTTGATGTGGATCACATCAGCAAATTACGCTGGTCACGTACTCATGCCAGTTTCAAAGCCGCGCCAAATGTCAGGCAAACACATGTATTAAGTACATGTAATTTGACTCATGCACGACATACATGTACATTGTTCTTGTGCATGTATAGGCCTTGTCCGAATTATTTGGCTTCGGGTTGAAATAACACACGCGCCTAATGAAGCCGCTGCGTGCTTACAATTGCCATTAATTACAGCGCCAGCCGGCCAACTTGTGCTAAAACTGTGAGTTATGGGATGTACATGTATGTGCATGCATATCAGCCAAAATTCCTCCCAAGTTCGATCAAGGACCATAGTTAACCGTATAGTTTGACTAACTGTGATTGAACGCATGCTAGTCGACGATAGTTGGACTAGTCTAGTCGACTATTCGACTGTTGGTCTCGAAACGAGTTATAGCTGATTATCAATAGCAATTTGCATATGCGTAGCATCGTGCAGAGGGGACCAACTGTCAAAAAATAAATGGTGAAAAAACGAAACTGTGAGTGCTAAATTTGATTTTCTTCACATATATTTTTTTCATGTTAGTTTACGATTCTGTCACTTTTGTCACCACAACAAAATTGGCGACTATGTACAATGTCCTAAACCACACAATCATGCACTACACAGAAACAACAAGTGTTGAATAATTGTAGGACCGCCATTTTCTGACGGTCTCTGACATGACAATAGACCTATATCATGCTTCCACCATTTTAAGTCATGTTCCCTGTATCCAACAACAGTACTGAATGATAATGTTTTTGTGCAAAAAGGAACGAGACTATTTTCCCTTCCAACCTTGCTTTGGCTACATTGATTTGAATGGGAAAAAATCAAATGGCTGCAACTATGGTCCAAGGGCGGATCCAGAACACAATTTTTGGGGGGGCCAAAAAAAAATTTGGTCCCCCAAAAAGTGGGTCTAAAAAATTACGGCGTGGGGTTCGGGGCCCGCTAGGGCCCCGAAAATTTTTTGGATTCTAGATGCTCTGTGGTGCGATCTGAGGCAATTTCTGACCACTTTAACCAATTTTTTTTGAGGAAAAGATGGTGGTGTACTCATTGCCTGCCTTTATTGCGATGTCACATTAAAAAAAAAAAAATTGGTTTCGTTTTGGGGGGGGCCATGGCCCCCTTTGGCCCCCCCCTGGATCCGCCCTTGCTATGGTCTATAGTTTGACTAGAGTTGTTCGCACTTCAGTGCGCATGCGCTAGGTATGTCACAAACCAACCACTAGTTAATAACTCGTCCTTGATCCAACTTGCTCCTATATAAGATTTTCTGCTTAAAAATAAGCGAGGATTGTCGCTAACGGTATAAGTCGAGCAATGAAATTGAGCCACGGTCTATTGCATTCAATGGCTGCAAGTTCGCAACCCACCATCGAACGAGCAAGCAAGCAAAAATAATAAGTGAGCGAGTGGAGCATGCTTCATGCTGGATGCTGACGTGGTTAAAAGCAAAAGTGCTATGATTGCTGGTCCCAGAGATGAACCTAGTGAACCTCTGTATTATCTGACTGACTGACTCCTCGACTGACTGACTCCCCAACGTACTCCCCGACTCCCATGGGCGTCGCCAGGATTTTTTCTAGAGGGGGGTAAAAAAATTTTGGCCAAAATATGCTTGTATTTCTCAACACATTCTCGATTTATCAGTTTTAGAGGGGGGCAGGGACATTTTGCCCCCCCCCCCTAACTCATTAAATTTACACCACTTTGTCTTCGCGCCTCTTTTTCTTTTTCCTTTTTTTTCTTCCTTTTTTTTTGTTTTTTTGTTGCTTTTCCAGGGGGGGGGGGGGCAAGTGGCCCCCCTTGCCCCCCCCCTCGCGACGCCCATGCCGACTCCCTGACTGACTGACTGTGGCTTGTGAGATCGACAGTGCTATTGTATAGGATTATACACATAATGCCAATGAATAAGCTAAATCCCACCCAACGTGGAGACCAGATGTGTGAAAACACTTCCAGTGAATATCAAATCTGAATTAATTGATAGAATTTCAGGCGCGGATCCGGGAGCGGGGGTCAATCCCCCCATGCTCCGACACACAAACAAATATAATAAGTGCATCAGTAAAAATGTACTGCATATAATACGTATATGTCTGCAACAATCAGACATAACAAATTCTGACAGACCTGACCCCCCTGCAAACATTCCTGGATCCGCCCCTGAATTTGGTGCCCTCTGTGACCAGCTCGAATTGTCTTGTTTACCTGATTAGCTAGGCTACCAGTCTGATTGGCCTGCTGCTCAGAGATTATTCTGAGCTGTTCCGCCGCGCTGTTTCCCGCGGCGGGGGAAACGATTTGCATTATATCCGACGTGCTGGATGCCGATGCGGTGGAAGACGTAGTAATCTGCTGGGGGAGGTACAAGGTTGGATGTGCAGTGTGTCAATACACCGAAAGAAACTCTAATTCTAATCATGATTTTGAAAATAACCTTCTCAAAAAGGGCCCTTGTGCTGACTCTTATCACAATTGTTCTTTGCACGCTCATTTAAAGGGAATATATATAACACTTGTTTTTGCTGTAACTTTCAGAAATGGATGGATTTGGGGGGTATTTTATTGCTACACTGACTTGTTTGACGTTTTGGATTCGTAGATGCTGAAAAAACCAAGAAAAATAATCATGTTCTTGTAGTCTGGTTCCCTGACCCCACATATGATGAAATGCATCACACTTTCGCCCTTAAAAAAATATTCCATCCACAGAGGGCGCAATTTACAGGACGAGAGCCCTATCTGATCGATAACGGTATACTGTGGTAGTCAAGATTAAAATATAAGTCCTAGGGAATCAATGCCCACTAGAGAGACGAGAATTACAAGATCGAATACATTATGGAATCGATTACGATTAAACAACGTCTGCATTCGTGTGGTAAATAACTTTCGCGAAAAAAAAATGCACGAAAAAAAAAAGGTCTTGGAACCAAGACAAAGAAGACTATTGCAAGAGGAATACTAACCGATTTCCCTGATTATAAACAGCACTCAACAGACAGTTGAAACAGAAAGATCCTCCAGAAATAATGAACAAAGGATTGAACATTTCAGCTTGTTTTGTTGGAGCAGGATCTGGAACAGATGGCTACAAGCCTTTTGGCAGTCAATTTGCAATGCAGGGATTCAATTATCGTCAGCTATTACAACCAATTACAAGTCAATGACATCAATCATTCTGTTGCATGTTTACCACTGAAACTGAACAATGGTATGCACCTGTCCATGTGCAGCCATTGTCCAGTGTGATTGATGTTCATGTCGCTGACAGATACATTTTGTGGAATCTGGTGACATTTGTTCCAACTACTTTGGCACTGGCAGGCATACAGTATTTCCATTAAAGGCTGTTGCACTTTGGTACATGCAAGCAAAACAAGGCAAATGGTGTTGAACACATTCAAGCAAAAAATATTTGTCACACACAACCGGGACACAAATCAGGGATTAACCAATTTTGCATCTATACCCTCGAGGCAAAGATAGTCTAAAAATATCTCACTTTCTTTTTCAAATCTACAGCGTACACATTTTTTTGATTTACTTCCCAAATATTCCCAGGACCTCTCCTGAAAGCACCAAATTAACCTATTGTTAGTCCCCGTACAACCCTAAACTGCCTTGCCAGTTGCTCCCTGTACCACCCTAAACCGCCCTGCCTGTTACTCCCTGTACCGTCCCAAACCGCCCTGCCTGTTACTCCCTGTACTGCCCCAAACCACCCTGCCTGTTACTCCCTGTACTGCCCCAAACCGCCCTGCCTGTTACTCCCTGTACCGTCCCAAACCGCCCTGCCTGTTACTCCCTGTACTGCCCCAAACCACCCTGCCTGTTACTCCCTGTACTGCCCCAAACTGCCCTGCCTGTTACTCCCTGTACTGCCCCAAACCGCCCTGCCTGTTACTCCCTGTACTGCCCCAAACCGCCCTGCCTGTTACTCCCTGTACCGTCCCAAACCGCCCTGCCTGTTACTCCCTGTACTGCCCCAAACCACCCTGCCTGTTACTCCCTGTACTGCCCCAAACCGCCCTGCCTGTTACTCCCTGTACTGCCCCAAACCGCCCTGCCTGTTACTCCCTGTACCGTCCCAAACCGCCCTGCCTGTTACTCCCTGTACTGCCCCAAACCACCCTGCCTGTTACTTCCTGTATTGCTCCAAACCGCCCTGCCTGTTACTGGTTACTCCCTGTACTGCCGCAAACCACCCTGCCTGTTACTCCCTGTACTGCCCAAAACCACCTTGCCTGTTACTCCCTGTACTGCCGCAAACCACCCTGCCTGTTACTCCCTGCACTGTCCCAAACCACCCTGCCTGTTACTCCCTGTACTGCCCAAAACCACCTTGCCTGTTACTCCCTGTACTGCCCAAACCACCCTGCCTGTTACTCCCAGTACCGCCCCAAACAGTCCTACCTGTTACTCTCTGTACAACCCCAAACCGCCTGAACGCCCTATGGTAATTGATAATGGGTTCATCAGAGAATAAATACAATGTCATACAAATGTAATACAATGATTTTTTATATCTATTTATATGTAAATGTTTCAGGGTTGTATGTGAAATATTTAATGCAGAACAAGGAGGCCGAGTTTCATGTTTTACATGTTAAGAATAAATAAATTGAATTGAATTGAACTGAATTGAATTGAAGAACAAATGTTAATGAGATTGAAGAGTGAACATAATACAGTCAAATCTTGTTAGTACAAACTCTGTTAATACAAAATTCTGGTTATAACAAACATAAAGCCTAAGTCTCGACTGTGCATTTATGTGCACAATGAATGGGACTGATGTTCCTCTTAATACAAAATTCTGATACAACAAACAATTTGGCTAGGTCTGAACTTTTTGTATTAACGAGACTCGACTGTACCAATATAAACCTTTTACTGGTACTTATTTTTCCATGCATGTTTTTGTTTCGTTTACATCTGATCACCATGACAACTGCAGTTTACTAAGTATCATGTCAACAAGTAAACTGAATTCCACCACACGACAGCTGCAAGTGTGGGGGTACAATAACGAATCTCTCATGCATTTCGGGACGTCAACTTGACAATGGAACACCTGCCGAGTTGGAGAAAATGTTTGTTCAAACAAAACACCAACTTGTCAAAAGGTGAGGTGAGCTTTAGAAGTTGTTGACACCTGGGAACTGTGGCGCTGCTTATGTGTGTTAGGACACAATAATTATTAAAAGATTTGAGAATGAAAAAAAAAGCTGATTCATGTCAACAACCTCTAAAGATCGGCTCACTTTTTGACAACTTGTTGTTTTTGTTTGGATCAACCCAGAGACACTTTGTGTGCTGTGGTCTTGTGGTCTGGAGCATTGAATTTATGGTCTGCGGGTAAATCTGCAGGTTGTGGGTTCGAGTCCAGCCTGGGGTCGTGGTGCGTGTGCCCTTGGGCAAGGTACTTTGTCACTCATTGCTTCTCCCCACCCAGGAGTAAATGGGTACCGTTTGAGGGCAGAGATGGTTATTGTGATTGATTTTAGCTGCTTTGCGTCAAAATGGCAGCAATCGAGCTGTATACTCCCCAGGGAGCTGACATGGTCTTTGAAATGTTTTATCAGCCCAATGAGCAGGATAATAATGATGTAGCGCCTTGAGCACCAATATTGGTGGATAACTGCGCTTTATAAAATTTATATTTATACACATTATCATTATTATTATTAAATTATTTGTATACCCGATACGGGAATATTAAAAGGCGTCAATTTACTTAAAGGGAATGTACATCATTGGCTTTTGCTGTAATTTTCAGAATGAACTATTGGAGGGGTTAGTATAATTATAGTAGATCAAATATTGTTACACTGACATTGTGGAATGCTGGAAAAATCAAGAAAAACAAAAATGTTCAAGTAACCTGGTTCCCTGACTCCACTAAAGATGAAATGGATCAATTTATAGATACCGGAAAATTGTAAGGTAAGGGAACTCGTCTAGCTGGTCTGCAATAGCAAACACAATTTGAATTGAAAAAAAAAATGGTAAATTTAAAGGCAATGATTGACTGTACAAGCAGGAAAAGAGAGCTTCTTTTGAGAATAATCAGTATGATACCAGGTGTCACACTTTACTTTTTTGATCTAGCTACAGCTAAAGCTGCTGTGTTGGATGTAAACTGATGGTGTAAGCACAACAGGAAGTGATCTGGTGCTGGAGTAGATTGTTTTACCCCTTATCTGACCTTATATCCGTACCATACTTCCCCATGCTTTTAAAAAGATAAGTCTGGGAATTTGAATTATTTTAAGTGACCCCTGATATGATGAGAGGCAAGACCCAGCTTCTGGGATTGGCTGCTATTAGTGGGGCAGATAGGGAACATATTTGGAGGGGGGGGGGCGGGAATTGTAATTTGAAATTTGACGATACAAAAATGTCATTTGGCACACAGTCAGAGTATGTCATGAGAAAGATATTTGGCTATAGGTCCATTGCAGATTTGTCCTTTGAAAAAATATTGGTAGAAAAACAAGCAATTTTCACATTTTTCAAAATGGCTGCAAATGCTTTTTAAAGGGCAAATCTGCGATGGCCCTATAGCCTCATATCTTTCTCATGACATACCGGTAATCTGGTTGTGAGCCGAATGCCATGCTTGTATCATCAAAGGCACAACCCCATCACCTTTCGCCATACTATATACTAGTCCGGTCAATTTACGTTTTAACAAAGAAAAGCATGGACTTTATTTAATGTTTACAAAAGTTCACTTTTCAATAAAATTAACGAAAAAAAAGGGATGTCAAATATTTTGTTTGTAAATTTACGAGGAGTGGAAAGTTGCACAAAAAATTGTTGGAAAAAATTATGTTCCTAAGAAAAAAATCACCTCATGGACCCTCTGAAAATCTTCTTTCGTTGTTCTGTGAATGAAGATGCAATGTGAAAAATAATTCATTGGTAGAATTAACCTATCGCGGTAGAATCGCGTCAACGCAGCTTGTGAAATATTGTCCAATTACATGATATACAAATGGACGCGGGACGCGCACTCTAAGACAAACAAAACTTAACGTACAAATTCCATAGGGTTGTCTAAGGCCAAAAAAAAAAAGTCTCCGGTTTCTGGTATGCGCGCGCGTCGCCATAGCCATGCGCGTCGGCAAAATGAAAAAGTTTTTTTTTCAATGAAAGATGATGTCTCAAAACCGCCAAACTCACTGGTTTGACTGGAATCCTGCTACTGCACAATTTTAACGTGTTTTTAGATGGGGTTATGATCGAGAATAAGCTTTATGTGGCCTCTCTGGACTCCCATATATTTGCACTAAATTTAGTTGGGCACCATTTGCAGTAATCAGCCGACATTTGAAGCAAAAAAGTCTGGTACAAAAAAAAAAAAAAGCTGCGTCGCCGCACCACTTTTTGGACAAGCTCCATACCAGAAACCGGATACTTATTTTTTTTGGCCTAAGGGGCATGGCTAACTCGCAAACGGCGATAGATAAATTGAGACTTGAAGTATAAACATTGACATACCTGCTGCTGTTTGTTGGGTGCTTGCTGTACCTGCTGTGCTGCGTTGTTCCCAAGCACTCGCTGCTGGCATACGTTGCGGTGCTGCGCCCAGTGGGTCTGCTGGCAGGGGTAGTCGCAGTAGCTGGTGTTCCAGCAACAGAAGAAGACGGCGTCCTTACCGCAGTTAGCGCACTGTCACCAAAAGACAAACAAGTTGGTCAAAGAAGGATCACTGCGCGGCAGGTAAGTGTAAGAATATCTTTGATTCCATAAAAACGTATACAAGATTTGGAAAAGAATGGTGCATCCTGACGCCACTTCTTATTTATATATCATCTCAATGGAGGTCAGTCATTGCAAAAATGTTGAAAAGACATGAATCTGGGACCGGGAAACATTTCCAATTTTGTTAGGAAATACTTTGAAGTTTGCCTGGACTCTCCATAGACTTTGTACACAACAGAGGAAATGGCGTCTACATTCTTTCCAAGATTTGGCTATTAATATCTTCTTGGGACAGTGACCAATGGCATTATATGCTGTTCTGCCCCAACTGACTATTTCATGTAAAACTCAAGTTGACTTCATATAGCTATACTAGCCTTTCCAAAAAAAAAAAACCAACCGAAGAGACCAGAAGGTTTTTATAACTAGGTAAGAAGGAAGACACATACTTGCAAAATGAATTGGAGAATTTTTTTTTTTAGTAAAAGTGTTTAGCAATAAGATTCTTGTCTATTAATGTAAATTGCTAAAAAGCAAACAAATTATAAGATTAAGATACATGTTATTGTGTCCATCTTCTGAAAATGAATATTAACATAATGAACCAATAACCTGAAAACCAATTTCTAAAACTTAAAAAAAAAATCCGTTTACCACGTAATCCTGGTCAATGTTGTTAGCTTACCCATTGTTTGGTCTTAGTCTTGCGGATCTCGTCTTGTTTCTCCGCCTCCAGTTGGTTCCTCAGGTTGATCAGGGCAACGTTGGACTCCTCCATCATGCATTCCTTCATCTCCGCTACTGCCAGATCTGCCGCAAAATAATCAAAATGTTCGGTTTAACATCCTGACAAACTTCTATTAAACTCCTCTAATTTTAAAAACAAAATACATTTGCCATTACATGTAGTTCAGGAAAATGTTTACGGAATTAATACATTCTTTAATTCCTTCTACATTCAAGACTTAACATACTGTCGGTAAAAAGGAATAATCTTTGAGGCCATTTTGAAATCCCAGGATGCACTGCAATTGATCATGTGACACAAGGACAGTGAGTATCTTGAAGTTAATTTCTTTCACATCTGGTACAGAAATCACTGTTTTTGATTTAAATAACTGTATATTTGCGTCATGAATGCATAAATAGCTAAAAAACACAATTATGAATTTTTTTTAATTGATTTTCTAGAAAACTGAAAGCAAAATTTTATCCTTGCTTTGAACTCACCCATGATCTGTTTGAATTCCTTCCGCTCTTGGTCCCTCTCCCAGGTCAGCTGCTGCACCTTGGCCTTCAACTCCTCAATGCTCGCCTTGGCTTCCTTTACCAACTTCCCCTCCGCAAGGTCGCTGCACAAGTCTTCAAGGATCCCTCCCACAGATGTTGAAATCTGAAGAAAATGAGGCCACGATAGAAAGTGGTCAATGTAGAATATGCAATGGTCCAGTGGTAACGGTGTGTGGGTTCGAACCCTGCCAGGAACATGGTGTTTGTGCCCTTGGGCAAGACACTTAACTACAATTGCCTCTCTCCACCCAGGAGTATGAATGGGTATCTGTGAGGGTAGAGGACCGAATGTGCGCTGATATATTGGCTGCCGCGTGGTCTTGTGGCCTGTCTTCAGCTTTGTGATAATTCCGATACATTTAGTGAATATCGGCAGTCATTACTACACTTCCCATTGCTTTCACTTACAGACTACGTTTCGCTACCTTGTTTTAAGTCAATAATATAATGAACAGACCGCAGACCAGCCTACATCACTGCATTTTTGTTCAGCTCTAACAAAATTTGGTGAAATCTGGTTATCAATAATTCCAAACATAAATGGACGAACATGATAAAGGGACCTTTATAATGATTAAGGATGATCTTACTTTCTCGATGTACTTCTTATAAAAGGTTTTCATGGAGACATCCTTGTCTATGGGAGTTGTCTGTGGCCCCTCAACAGTCTCACTGCTACCTGAGGTACTCGCAGCCTCCGTTGTTGAGATAGTCACTGTTGGACTTTCAACGGGTTCTTCAGCGACCTTTGGTGAAGGATCAGGTACAATAACCAATGGCCTTTTAACGGCCTGCAGCGTCTCAACAATCTTTGGGAAGGAAGACAGGAACGTGGTGGGGGATGTTGCGGGGTTGGCAGGTGGAAGATCTGATTTTGGAGGCATGGGAACTGTGCTCTTGCTGCTCTCGGCAGTTTGCATGTTGTCAGTCTGCGAATTATCGTCCTTTGAGATGTCTTTTGAAGGTGCTGATTCATCATTTGGAGGTGTGGATTTGTCACCTGAAGTTGCTGACTTATCAGAGGATAGGTTGATTGGTGCTGGGCTAAGACGCTTGGTGGTATTTATTGTTTCTTCTTCAGTTGTGGCTGAGTCTTCGAGTCTTGGCTTCTCTTCGACTGATGCTCCCTCTTGGAGAGATGATCCCTCTTCGTGTTTTGACTCCTCTTCGTGTTTGGACTCCTCTTCATGTTTGGACTCCTCGTTGTGTCTTGAGTCCTCTTCGTGTTTTGACTCCTCCTCGTGTTTCGACTCCTCTTCGTGCTTGGACTCCTCTTCACGTTTCGACTCCTTTTCATGCACGCTGGGTACAGGAGAGGCAGTTTTCTCTTGCCGTGTTGTGCTTTGGTCAGGCTGGTCAGTCCCATGACTCTCAAAGGGGTCCGACAGAAGAATGACGTCGTCCGTTTCCATTGGCGTTGAATCTTCATGGACGTCCATTTTCAGAGCTTCACTAGACTGCTCCAGCTTATTGGCAGTAGAGTCTTTCCTTTTGATAGTGTTTGATTTGGACAGTCTGGCCTTTTTGCTTGGTCTTGTGTCAGCTTGGCTAGTGGTTTGTGACTCGTCGATAACCAGCTCGCCTTCCTCTGAACCGGACATCTCAGAATGGCAGCTCATAAGAAGGTCAATGTCTTGATCCACCCACGGTTTCTTGGATGAACTAGGGCCTTTGCCATCATCTGCTACATTTTGAGATGCCTTGGCATTATTTCTGTCAGGATCAGTTCGGTCCTTCGGGAGTTGTTTACCGTTTGTGTCGGTACTGGGATCTTGGTTGTCAGTGTCTTCAGCAGATGTCTTCGCCAATCTCGTTGAAGTATCTTCCCTTGATGTAGTCGCCTTCTCCGACCCATCCCTGTTTGGGCTATCAGCTCTCTTCTTGGCTACACTTGGGCCTTGGTCCTCATCAACCTCCATGTCTGACTCATCTGAGTGTTCGGCTTCGCTAGAGTCTGAGTCCAAGTCGGCGGCTGAAGACTCTGAATCGGAGGTCTCTTTGTCGACACTGTGAAGCCTCTCAATGCCCAGGGAGGCCTTCATGGTCTCAATTGTCTTGACCAGCTTGATGTGGAACTTGTCCTTCCTGGGTAAGGACTGGGAGGTGCTTGGGATGTCCTCGTCCTGAGCCTTCTCCGAGGAGTCAACCGCAGGGGTCTTTGGAAGAGCTGAGTCTTTTGAGTTTTTATCATCCACATCAGGGATGGAGGGTGAAGGCTTTGGTGAGGTATCAGCTTTTGGCATCTCTTCGTTTTGATCTACAGATGGTTTATCCTGTGAAGTTGAAGAGATTTTAGCTGCAGTGTCCTTCTCTGTAGACTCGCTACTTTGCTCCTCTAGGTCCATCAAATGTTCCTTTTTGTCTTCTTCTGCTTGATTAGCATCTTGACTGCCCTGCCTCCCCATCTTCCCCAGGGACCTTGGGCTGACCTTGTTCAGCTTGATGGCAAGGCTCCTGGCAAAGTCGTTGGCGGATACATGGGCTTTGCCCAAGAGCTGCACGGCTGGCGACTGGGCTTCCACCTCAGGATCCACATCTAGGCTCTCGTCGCTGACTTCGAACACGCCAGCCGGTGCCTTGCTGGGAGACGACAACGAGCTGTCATCACTCTCAACATTCCCCAAGTCGGGCTTACTTCCAGAGGCAGAGCTTGCCTCCGCAGTGTCTTTAACCTGTGTTGTTGGCTTATCCACGCCTACCGTTCTTTTCCTAGAGATGTTGAAGATTTGACGTCTAACTGTTTGTGGTGCTCCAATCTTGGTGCTAGGTGTATCGGAGTTGATCTGCGCATCCTTAATCGACGAATCCGAGTCTGGTTGTTTATCCTTACCAGCATCGTTGCCATTTCCAGACGATATTTTGTCTGCAGAGTCCTGACTTGAATCCTTTTCGTTTCCTGGAGATTCTTTGTCTAGTACTGTGTCCTTTACCAGTTGACCTGGCAGACCATCCGACGGTTTTCCAACATCTACTTTTCCATCAGCCTCCTGTGAATCTGGTTCCGTCTTGACTTTCACAGTGGAAGGGGCCGGGTCTGGTTGCAGTCTACTCCTGCCGCTGATGCCATTCATCAGTATCTCAGATTGGCTCTCCGTCCACTTTTCCCTGCCTTTGGGGTCAAGGGACAGGCACTCAAACTTCCCGTAGGGGGTCCGGTGGGGTGCGTACCGGAAGCAGTCTTTGCCGAAGGCCTTTTTTAGGTTTTCGATGTGGAGTTCCATCTCCATGATGGAGGTGCTGAGACCCGTTGTCTTCTTCTTGGAAGGGTTGGGGATCTCCGGACAGTACATGTAGCAGCTGGAGACAGGAACCCAAGCCCTGAAAATACAAACAGAGGCATCATAGTCTCACCTCACCAAATTGGTGAAATTTCTCTCAACAGCACTGGCAAAGCACTTAAAGACAAGGAACTCCCCAGAATGAACGCATGGTCACTCTTATCTACATCTGTCATGTTGGTATATGACGAACATGAATCCTCCACTTTTTGAAACATAATGTCTGTGTATTTACCTGTCATGCTGCCCGAAGAAGCGGACGTCTAGAAGTCCGTCCTTCTCCCGGATGACCTTAGAAGGCCAGAAGGGGAAGCCCTGTAGCCTGGCCCAGACCAGCTTGTGAGGATCCCGCTGTGGAAAACAAACCAGAAGCTACTATTAATACCCACACAGGCAAAAAAAATTATTCGGATATCCGTGGATGATCGAATATTCGTATAATCAGCACAGCCCTTGTCATAATTATGTACGGGGTTTCTCCTCCATCACTGACTTGGTATTTCTTTGTCCTAATTTGTACCTGTGTTTCTTGAAGCCTGTAGTGCCATTCTTAATTTTTTTTTTGGGGGGGGGAATCCAAGTTTTGTGTACCATAATAAATACCAAAAAACACTATAACGTGTGCTCAGATTCTGTAATTTCATTGGTTTTAGGATGGCCACGTGTCTAGACAATAAAAATGCATGTCACACACCGAGGGTGATATCGTACTGCGTTCAGTGCGCAAGTAGCGAGCGCGTTTGGAACCTGCCGGCGCGCTAGCTTCGCGCAATGAGAACTGTAACGTCAAACACTCAGTCTCATGTCCGGCAGGACACCAAAACCTTCAGTTATCAAAGGCTGCATCGCAGTGATTTAATTTATTTTTCACACAGCAAGTTTTTGAGTTATCTTTTTGAGTTATTTACATGATACAACAAAACAATTGTTGACTGCTGTGATGTAGCATATGACGTTTTTAACCCCCTAGGGGCACATAGCCCCCTCAGCTTCGCCTTGGGTGCTATGCGCCCCTTGGACTTAACAATTGTGAAATATTATGAAAGCAACTTACACAGACTTCGCAGAACCATTTGCTGTTTTTCACACTGGCCGACAAGTAGCAGTCTGGGCAGATTTCAATCTCCTTCATCTAAAATAAACCAATCAAACAGAAACCTGTCAAAACTATTTCCCTTTTTGCTAGAGTGGGTTCTACACAGATTCACAACTGTTCTACGCAAAATGTCAATGAGGTCAGAGTTAACGTCGAATGTAAAAAATTCGGGTTGGACTTACTTCGTATTCACAGATCTTGATGATCATCCGTGCACTGTTAGTTAACTTGTGATGCGCTTTGAAAAAAAAATAGACACAGACAAAAAATGAATTATTGGTTTATTTGCAATAAAACATGTAAGATGATTAATCTTAACCATAATAAACTGCGCAACTTTGCATGGAACAATTCTTCTTTATAAACTAGACTATTTATATTATGGGTTTTATTTGGCTTGTGAGGTTTGAATATTGCGACAAGTTTTCAACTTACATCCGTTGAAGACAATGCAGTTGTGCAGGATCCATTTTGCATCCAGATGAAAAGCCTCTGTACTACCATACATGTGCTTTTTGATGTTCTGAAAAATAAAAAAAATAAAAAAATGATGACACAATTTGAAAAAATTTGAATTATAACTGCACAAATGGTATGTAATATATGAAAAAGCTTCCTTTTTCTATCTCTGTCAAAGGTTGGATGTTTGAGGAAAGTAAAGGAATAAGGGAGTCAGGTTGGCGTAGCGGTACTTTCCTCGCCTTCCACCGCTGTGACCCGGGTTCGAATCCTGCCTGGGCCAATATGTGGATTGGGTTTTCATTCCCTACCTGATTCTGTGGGTTTTCCCCAGAATATTCTTCTGGGGTTTTCCTCCCACCTCTAAAACTGTCAATTCTTCTCATTGTCTTCTCTCCACAGGATTCTTCAGGCTTTCGAGCTACAGTGCCTAGGGTGCTTTTGAGGAATCCTTGGTTTCAATATCAGAAATGATTAATGATCATCATAAAAATACAGACCTTTTCGAGGGTTGACAGGTCCATGGGATTGAAGACAAACTCCTCATAGCCCGGATTCTGTTGAGTGTTGACTGGCTTCAAAAATGGTTCAGCCTGGAAAGTAAAAAAAAAAATTTATAACCCCGGCTCATCAGGCTAATAAAAATCTAAGCTTTGTGATGAGTATACAGGGTGAGTAAAAAAAAAATATGAAACCCAAATGTCAGGACCCTTGTTTAAGTGAAGTTCTGCATGTAGCACTTTCAAAATCTAGGATATGAAAGCCCAATTCATAAGCTTTCTTTTAGTACAAGAATCATTCAAATCACCAATGTAATTTTCATGGTACGGAATTTTAAACACAACGACCGTTTAAGGTTCTGTCCACGGATCACAACAAGGTATTAGTGTTCTTTCAGCAAAATGAAAACAATTCACATAGGGATGTGTGTGAATTGTTTTCATTTGAAAGGACACATACTTTTTTTGTGATCCGTGGACAGAACTTTAAAAAAAATGGTTGTGTTTAAAAAACATGTAACAATCCAGTATGTGAGTTTTCTGAGACTCGTACTCGGTTGATACTCACCCCGGTGTGTCTCATTCTCTTGAGTGCATAAAAGAGTAGTTTGGCCAGCTGGTTCTGAGTCAGTGATGACATGGCTGGAGACTGTGAGTCAATGCACTCGGCATTGGTCGCTCGCTGAGTAACGAAGAAAGTATTACTTATAGACATGTACATGTATAGTGGTGTTGTGCATCGGGTCGGGTTGACCAGGCCAAACCGACCTGAATCACTAAATATATAAACCGAATGCACATACAAAATGTACAAATAATCTTCAAAGAAGTCTTAAGATTTCTTTGAAGATTATTTGTACATTTTGTTCAGTTTTTTAATTGATATTTTTTTTGGTATTTTTTTTCTTATTTAATTTTTTTTTTTGAGATTTCTTTGAAGATTATTTGTACATTTTGTTCAGTTTTTTTATTGATATTTTTTTTGGTATTTTTTTTCTTATTTAATTTTTTTTTTTTATTTTTTTTTTATTAATTTTTTTGTTATTTAAAACTTTTTTTGAAAAGTTTCTTTCTATATTTTTTCTTGTTTAAATTTTTTATTTTTTTTATTTTATTTTTTTTAATAATTTTTTTTACATTTTTCAAAACTATTTTTAATTAAAGGGAAAATACAACATTTGCAAACATCAAAAAATAAAACTACCAAATCATTTTGAAATACCTTGCTGGACTGTTAGTGTATGACAGTGTAAAGCATCCTGTAAAATCATGGCACCTGGTATACTGTCATTTTCAAGAAAAGTGTTATTTTTGTATCAATTTCCAACGCTGATCGGCCGATCAGCATTGGAAAAAACTGGCTTTTTTTTCAAATACTGGCCCCAATTGACCATCGCACTTGTTTGCAATCGATTACACACCTATGAACGGGTACAAGCCAGCTAGACTGGTTCCCTGACCTTACAATTCCCCAATGTATGTAAACTGCTCTGTTTCTTCTTATATGGAGTCAGGGAACCAGACTACAGGAAAATGATTGTTTTTCTTGGTTTTTATAGCATTTTCGAACCCAAAACCTCAAAAAAGTCAGTGTAACTATATTTGCTATATATTTCCAACCCCCCAATTCCATCCATTTCTGAAAATTACAGCAAAAGCAAATGATGTATATTCCCTTTAAATTTACAAAGATTACTTTAATTTCATTTCATTTATGGCATTTTTTTGTGTGAACCTTTTAGTCAGAAGAACCCCATGACAGAGACTTTGTCTCTTTTGGGTGCTCCTTTGGGAGCTGTTAGGTTCTTTTTGTTTTCTGTTGTTGTCTTTTAATTTCATGTGTTGGTTTTTATCCCGAGAAATAGAGTAAATGTAAATGAAGTCAAACCGAAACTGACCTGAAATTCCCAAATCCGACCAGACCCGACCTAACAAAAAATTTAAGCAAAACCGACCAGGGCCCAATTTCACGGTGCTGCTAAGCACAAATATTTGCTTAGCACAAAAAAGTCTGGCTTATAAAAGCAGGTTACCAGCCAAAACTCCATGTGAACAGCTGAATACTAATCACATGCAATATACATCACGTGCAGTTTTGGCTGATAACCTGCTTTTATGAGCCAGACTTATTTGTGCTAAGCAAATTTTTGTGCTTAGCAGCACCGTGAAATTGGCCCCAGTACTTACCTCGCATTCCGGGCAGAACCAGTCCCCCACAGGGTCCCCCTCCACCTTGGCACACCTGGGGTGGTAAACCCGTGGGCACAACTCACAGCAGATGACAGAGCCTTCCTTGTGACAAACCCAGCAATAGAAGTCATTCCTGGAATCCTGGGAAGGGGAATAAAAACATTAAACCCTCACCATTTCAGATCTTTCAAAATCCACCAGGGGATTACTTTCAAACGATTTTGTTCAATAAGTTTACTTCATTTTTTTTAAACATCCCACTGGCTATGTTATGGTATGTGCCTCTTGCGAGGAGTTGTAAACATCTCCTTACATGGAGATTGGCATGTGCATGGGGCATACTAAAAGTTTGTGTCAATAAGTCAAAACAAGTTAAGCAACTACAAATGATTTTGTTCAATAAGGTTTACTTCATGTTTTTAAACATCTCACTGGCTATGTTATGGTATGTGCCTCTCGCGAGGAGTTGTAAATATCTCCTTATATGGAGATTGGTGTGCGCATGGTGTATACTGTGCAATGTGGGGCAAACGTAACATTCAACTGCTGAAACAATTCCTACAACACGCCCATTCTATCTTTACTGAGTGACATTAGGTTGCTTGAAGCTCTGGGGATAACTAATAATACCTGGTCTCGGTTGGATCGGACTATTTTCCTCTTCTTGCTCGATGGAGGCACGTAGTCAGCCTTGTTTTTCAGGCTAACCTTGTTGCTGTTGGGACTGGTCTGGCTTAGTTTGCGCTTCGGCGCCGTCTTGCCGTCTGTGTAAAAACAAATCATTTGATCAATCAATCACTGAGTCAATCACTCGCCAATCACAAGTTAATCACTTGTCAATCACGAGTCAATTGTTGCATTAAAAATGGAGACCAACCCTCCCAGCCTTCCGCACTTCAGAACCCTTTAAAATTTGCAAAACCACTTTTTCTCTCAAATTCCTTCTGTGGAGTATGGATAACACTTCAAATCCCTGTGCAATTCTTTTGTGTGGTTCAGATGCTGGGCAAGCAGGCAGACTTGGTCACGCTTCACTGCTCTCCACAGTGCTGTTTTCTTGTGTAGTACCTCTCTGTGTGACACAGTTACTTAAGACTGCATAACACTTCAAACTGACCAGCTGGGATTTTAAGGGTTAGACATTGTACATAATTCTCTGAAAAATGACTTCCCACTTCCAGTAGGTGGGTTAAGCTACGTACTATACAAGAGTGAACCGTCTAGCCGAGGAAATTTATGCTCGTGGCTTCAAAAGGAAGTGACCACACGTACAGCTTTTCACTTTGAAAACAAGTGTCACATTGGAAATTAAGCTGACCTTTGGGCGATTTATTCGAGCTGAAGTTGATGTCCATGAAAACGGGTGCCTCTCTTTTCATTCTGTAAAACAAAAATTGGCAAAATTAAACTGTGTCTGAGGGAAGTATTTATACGTAAACCTAAAATGTGCACATATTTGGTCATGGTAACTGCAACATTGCTAGGAGTCATAATAATGTCGGCAGTCAACATAACTTTTGCTATGGAACAAATGTGTGCATGCTTGGCAGGAACTTTTACAGTAAGATTTGAAGCAGATCGATTGCTATCAACACTGCACAGCCCACATTGACAGATAAAAAAATGGAGTTACCTTGATACATGTACGTGTACAATTTTGCACATGTGCATGTATACCTGTACCACTGAGCAGACGATTGGTTGGCATTCGATCGTTCAAAATACTGTATTGTTCGGTTGATCAGTGTTTGTTGTATTCAGAGACCGCAAGGTCAAAGATACCATTAAATGAAAACAAGGTCAAAGGTCACATGGTGCTGCTGACACTGCAGTGGATCAAGGTCATGTGGAGTATGTCATCCACCTCATACATATAAGAAGATTACCGCTTTTGCAAGATTCTTTACTCAATCAAATCACAAGGCTTGCATGGTCAATTAAAACATTTAGACATAAAAATTATAAACATAATTTAGCGGCATATCTTGCCAGGCTGCATGTAGAATTATTGTTTAATTGCCATACCCGTTGAAATGTTCTAAAAATCGAATGACCTTAATTCACTGTGCACCAATTATAAGAAAGAATGACACGATAGTTACATGTACATGTACATGTATTCATATTGCTTAGTGCTTGCACTTTTCCCACTCTACGTACCTGATTCCTCTTGTTTAATAATAATAACAAATACATGTCGCTGTTGAAACCAGTTAAACAAGTTTCGTGACATATTGCATCTACATTTCAAACATGATAATCCGTTTTTATACAAGTTATCACCGGTTCATATACTCATGGAACATGTTCATGCTCAACATGTACAGTAAAAATGTGTGATTGAACTTCATCATACATGCAAATGATGCAATTTTATATGAATTACAAACCGGTAGGAAACTAACACTTGCCTAAAAATGGCTTACGTACTAGTATAGGCTACATTATATTTGCAGTTATCTGAAACTTACACACGTGGATAATCTCGGACAAATGTACAAAACTTAACAGTTTACATATATCAAGTTTTGCAGTTCTAAGAATTAGGTACATAAATCGGCCATTCTGTAAATTTCTGGTCCACATTTTTCCTGTCCCTGTTATGAATTTACAATTTCCGATGCACTCCTTAACGCAGTCGTCCTCCAAGAGTGTGATTATGAATAGCACACTAAACCTACCCAAGAAATAAAAAAAATTGTTGTGAGTCAGTCTTGATGAAACTTGAATGGCGAATTATAAAGTACCAAGGTAACAGGGACAGGAAAAATGTCACACTTTGGGACCTAAATTTATAGAGACCTATAAATTTATAGAATGACAATTGTCCATGGATGTGTCATGCAGAATCTATGAAGAATTGGGCAATTATACGCTAGAAGCCTACATGCAGAACGTGGTATATGCCCTTCCGCCAGGAATCTTGAAAATCCAACATGGAGACTTGACAATTCTTCACCCACTTGTGTTGTAGCTGCTTCCTGACACACTGAGCCACATCAAAACCTATTTGTTTGCATAATACTGAAAGGACGTACACACTCCATGTTGGTTGTTCTATGGGCGGGGTTTACCGAAGTGCCAATCACGGGGTGAGGCGTCACATGACCGGCGTCCTGCTGTGTGATTGGCTGGCTCGGGGACAGATGGGGAAGTGGGTGAAATTCCACTGTCTGGGTGCTTGCAGTATGTGCAGTCAGCCAGCATGGAATCTCCGTGCACTAATATACCACATGCATATGGCTTACATGTACACATGCCAGAATTAATACAATGTTCAGATCTTCTTTTAGTGTGGCCAAGTCAGCCATAGGCCTACATGTAGATTCCTGTGTCATAAATTTCTTGACAAGAATTACAAAAACTGTCTTGCTTGATTTGAAACGCGGAATTTACCCAGCAAACGTGGAATACGTTCGTGTAGATATAATATTGAAAGTAATTTCAGGTTCACTAACAACTAATTTTGTTGATTACAAAATGCTTATTCCACCGTCGTCTGATATTTTACAGAAATATACCGCTGCATGCCCCTATTTTTGGGACTTCCTTGTAGCAAATGTTTCAACAACATTTTAGTTAAATGATAAACAAGAAGTAGAGGAAGGTGGAAAATGTGTTCTTCCCGTACCAGAATTCCTGCTTGGATGTTCTTTCAGGAAAGAAAAACATGCAGACATGAACATGCAATTTGTTCATCAGGTTATATACATGTGATGCACACGTACACATACATTGTACATTTCAAACACAGGGCTGACAACTCTCACGCATTCAGCGTGAGACTCACGCATTTAAGCTTGTTCTCACACTCTAGTGCGCACTTGGGATTTCTCACGCTAACAAAATAAATACCGGTAAATGAAATTTAAGAATGATGTTTAAATGATGTTCTTTTGCTAAACAAATTGCTTAAAGTGGTCAGAAATTGCCTAAGATTGCGCCACTAAGCGTCTAGAATCCAAAATTTTTCAGGGTCCCTTAAGCGGGCCTTGAACCCATGCCATAGCTAGGCTTCGCACTCGCAATTACCATGATTACTTCGTATCAAGCTCCATTGATTGCCAAATTCTCACTCTCAGCTCTTACTTAATTAAAGTTTGGCAGCCCTGCAAACGGTCTTGTTTATTTCCAGCGTGATCAAGTAAAACATGTAATTTTCCTTTTATTTCTTCTAGCATGTCTAGTGACATATGAAAACCGTCAATGTTATGCTGTTTTAAGCTCTGCGTTTTTGTCGATGCTTTCACGATGCAAGCTGTTACTTGAATTGGAATCAGGATTGAGTATTTTAAAGGTATATCATTTGCAGCTTTACAAGAAGTAACGGACGAAATTATTGTTGAAAAGCATACTTGGTTTAAAGATGGTAATGGTACTAAACTCGCTGTGAAATTATTCTTTCTGGCAAGCTGTCATTTTGAGGAAAACAATAAAAGAAAGTCATTTCCAAACATTGCACAAATGACTCTACCTTTAAATTGTAGTCTGATCGGTTCATACGTACACCCACGTTGAATCAGGTTTTTTTTTTTTCGAACAGCAACGTTCTTCCACCTTGAATTGACCTAGAGTGGCTTCAATCCAAGTTGAATTCAAAATGGTCACGGTTTGTGAAAATCTAAAGCCAAAACAGACTTTGGAACGATAACCATGTGTGCTGTACTGTGGTTATAACAACACCTTGGTCACCCGTGTTGCCGTCAATTCATGACAAAGCTACAACAACATGTGGGTAGCACTTTTGTCTGACAATAATCTGATTCGCAATAGATTGCTACGATGTAACAACACCTGCAAAAGAAAAACATTCACTTTAAGTTTACCAAAATGTCCTCACCCTGCATTTGGCCTTCGTTTCTTCCTGAGAGCCAGGGGCAGATCGAACTGGCCCGATCCGATGGTCTTCATGACCGACGACTTCCCAAAGAAAGTTTTGCTGGGCGACTGCGACGATCCTAGCTTCACGCCTCCCGATTGGCCGAAGATAGACTTTCTGGGTGACGATTGGCCGAGAGAGATTTTGCTTGCAGGCGACGAACGAATAGGCGACGGTTGACCTGACGGTGATTTGCCGTTTCCAGTGTTAGTGATTGCTGACTTAATGAAGACGGACTTGCCAGACTGGGCTGGGCTTGGTTTCGTGCCGCCTGATTGGCTGCTGGGATTCTTGCTGGATGCTGATGGGCTGCCGACTTGGACTTTACCGGTTCTTGATTGGCCAGTTGGAAGCTTACCAGACTGTGATTGGCCAGTTAACGACTTGCCTGGTGTTGACTTCGCAGCGCCAGTGGAACTCGCCGGTCTACTTTGAGCCGCCTTGCCCATTCCAGCGGGCTGTTTACTTTTGGCCGATTCGCCTACTTTTGCTACCGGAGTCGCTGCTTTTACGGCTGCAGACTTTGGCACTGTTGGGGTCGCCATCTTCGCTGAATCTGGCTTGTTTTCTGTCTCGGGATACTGGTCTGAATGCCGATACCACCAACGAAACAACCAACTCATGAACTCAGGAAAGGCGTCACTCTTCTCTGTCGATCATGATTTCTGCTGCATAAAAAAAGAAAGACTGCAAGTTAAGTCACTCTTAAAACTGGAGAAGTAATATGAAAATATATCCCAGTCTCCTGAAAACGGGCAGAGCATACTGTTCAAAGCGTTGAGTTTCCCATCAGTTCTTTTCACGACCACACAAACTCTCGAAAGAGTTTTCTTTTCACATTGCCGGTACAACAGCAAACTTTCTTTTTCTTTCCGTCTTCACTATGCAAACCTTCAAATCTTAACCAGTTCCGCCGGGATTATTTTGACAAGAACGGAACGAGGCGCAGGATTACTTTTCTCTCGACCTCAAGCCAAGCGGGTTGAAGCCATCACCCTTGGGCAGCACACTCACATTTCTGGCCTCACTCACTGGGAGCGGGTCACTGACTGATATTTTCGGCCCCGCTCCCTGCATCTTTATCTGTCATCTGTTCCGAATACCGCAAAACCTTTGCAGGTATACACGTCATCCGCGCGAACTGGTTATAAACAGCCGTTCAAGTTTTCTCACAAAAGCAGAAAAACTCTTCAGGCTGTTAAGATTGAAGGTTTGAATACAGACTCAATGAGTAATGATTTTGCAGAAGCACTACCTTTCAGAAACTGGAGATTCGTGTGGTTTTGTTTCAAACAGTGCTCTGTTCATCTTTAGGAAAAGCCCAAGTAAGCTTAAGCACAAATGGAGGGGACATCGACCCTACCAAATGTCTAATTTTTGTAAAGTGTCAGCCAGATTTTGAGACTGAGAGTTTGAATCTTTCTGATCCTAATGTCCACTTCTGTGTTACAGAATATTTTTTTTCAATATTACTTTGACAGCTAGCCAATTGACCTATCGCCGTTTGCGAGTTGGCCACGCCCCTTAGACAACCCTAGATGGAATTTTTGTACACTAAGTTTTGTTTGTCTCAGATGTTACGCGTTCCGTATATTTGTATATTTTATATTTGTATATAATGTAATTGGACAATATTTCACAAGCTACGTTGACACGATTCTAACGGGATTCTACCGCGATAGGTCAATTGTTCTAGTGTTGAAAAAAAAACCCAGAAATCCGACAGTTTCTTACTCTTCACTTTTCTTACGAGTCCTTAGCATAGGCCCGATTTTCCTGACTCTTTCCTGAATATTTTCCTGAACTGTAAGCTAAGAAATTCTGCCAAATAAAGCTGAAATTTCTGTGGTTTTGGTTACCGTATTTTTAGGTTAGCAAGGAATTTTGACTTGTGCACATACACATCCCATAACTCAAAATTCTGAGCTCGCTAGCATTGTCAGTACAGCATGGTGATCACGATATAGAGTGCAAAATTCGGCAGTAAGCAAAGCTCTGAAATGTAAGTCTGCATTTGCTACATAAAATTTCAGAAAGAGGTTAAGCCATCCCCAGCAGATTGGGTGGTGGATACGCAACTACGCACCCTGAGGCGCACGCCGTGGATGAGACTTAAGAGACATGTTCATCATAAGTCCGACTCGAGTCACAATGTTTGGCGACTCGACTCGACTAAATGAGTCCCAACGGGTACTTGACTCGACTCGACTCAAGTCACTGCAAGCAAATGACTCAACTGGACTCGAGTTCCTTATCCGAAGACTCGACTCGATAATAGTCATCATGTCAGCAAAAGAGGGCCATACATAGTCTAAAAAATTATTGGCATGAATTGTTTCTGCTCCTGCCCAATATGGCCTCCTGATGAAGGCTAGCTGATCCAACTCTGCACAGAATTCTGGGCAGGCCGGGGGACCTATCATCGAACCAAATTAAAAGATGCACTAAACGGTAAACCTAAACATTGGCGTAAATTTTCACAGTACGTGAGCTAGACAGCATAAACACCGAGGCCATCTGTGTTTATTGTAGTGTCTCTCCGTATATTTCTTCCGTTTTTTCCCCGTAATTTTGTGTACCGATTCTTTTTCCAATGTCCTTTTCTACATACAGCAAAACTCTCAAATGCAATTTATTGCAGAAATGAGCATCAAAAAATGCTTCTTTACCAAATGTTTCATTTTTAATTTCAGACTGCAAGTATAACTATTTTCATTGTTTTAATGTAGTGGATATATATCGTTACAGCAGCCGTATACGATTTTCAACTGCTATCGTTAAGGTTTTGTAAAATCACCGTTTATAACTACTCGTCCTGCCAGAATGCTCCGGAAGCTCGATCGATTAGTTACACATTTGATAGCTGTGACGGGTTCGAAACTTTTGCCGCACTGTTTATTTTTTTTTTTTATATATACAGTATATATTTTTTAACTAGTTTTTTTACTTTCATGTTTTTAACCAAATCGTTCTTTTTATCCGAGTCGATTTCATTTTCTTCTTTGTAATCCGTGGCTTTGGAGGATTTCTTTTTTTAAAAGTGAAATACAGTCCAAGAACCATTCAGTTGAATGATAGTCTGGTTCCAACAGCCAAAGATCTTGACGTTGAATACCATTAGGTCAGGGAACCAGATGGTTCCGTTACAATAGCAGTCACATCGTGTTACGGCTGCTGTAACGATAACCACTGCGATGTTTTAATGGTTTCTCGAGAATTAATTTGTACTGCAAAACGGTGACATACTGCATACAGTTGCTACAATTATGCCTATAATATGGGAAATTTTACGAAAAAGTATCTTTTTATGCAAGACGACACACTCATTTAACAAATCATAGTGCAATAGAAACAGATCAAATTCATCATAGAGAAATCGGAAAGATTTCCATTTACGAAGTTCACTAATTTTCCTCTGTATTGACTAACAAGCCCCCAGATAGCAATTTCATGTCATCAAAGTCAATTTGAGCAGTGAGAAAATACAAGCATTTTCTTAGAAAACACTTAGAATTTTTCAGTCCAATCTCATAGGGTTTGTGCACAGGGTGTTGAGTGAACTTCGTATATGGAAATCTTTCCGAGAAATCTACTTCTTTCTCCGTGCATTAAAACACGCTGACAACACAATCGATAGAAGGTAACACGAATAAAAAAATATCATCGGAAACACGTGCCAGAAACTTCAAGAAAATACAACTTCGATTCAACCCGACCATGCTGGATGGCAAAGCATTTACCATTCCCCCAACCCTTACCATGTGGTCCAAAGATCCTCATCAGAATGGCCTAACAGCTCATGGCAAGCTATGCTTTGCCTGCTGCAATTGACAAAAGAGATCCCATGAAATTTGCATGTGGATAACACTCACACTGAGCTTGTGTGTGTGCTTTTGACGGGGTCAAAGGCCGTATGCAAATGAAGAGGTGTGGCTAAACAAGCCACATTGTGACGGAGTGGCAGTGTGGTTTTGTGCATTGAATCTTTGTGACGCATGCAATGTGTACAATGTGATTTACATGACTGCTAATGTAGTCTTGTTTGGATTTTTAGCACATAACTTTTTAATAGATGGTTTGATTACAGAAACTGTTTCAAAATTTGTCCTCAGCAGAGACACTGCTTGCAAACCAGCTCAACACAATTCCAAAACACGGTCTTTTTGGCTTCAATAGCCAATATTTGTCGTGTTGCAATTGATACAAACACTCTTCTTTTGACAATTCCATCAATGATATTCAGTCAATGACAAGTCTTGGACAATAGCAAGGCTTTAAATAACAGGAAATCCCTCATTCTTGTGAACTTAAAAGCAACACGAATTTACAAGGTGCACGACATCTTTCAGCAAGCAGATTTTTTACACTCATTTTCACAAAATGCAGAAATGTTGCAAGTCAACGATCATGCTTCTTCCGTGCTATTCAAGTCATTTATTACAACTAATGATCATTTCGAAGCCCATGTAATTTGATCAACATGATTTTTAATATCATTTGTTATAAATGTGTACGGTTTATATTTCATGACACTCCTTTTATCTTACATCGCATATTCCCAAGGTTTAAAATGAATTCCCACTCCAAACTCTTAAGATTGTTCATATTTGCTATTTAACACGTGAATTAAGATTCATGCACATATGGGGTGTTGACTATTACATGGGTTATTCGAGCAATAGTACAACACGCATGCGCTTACTAAGCAATAGTGGAACTATCGCATGAGTAGAGTGTACACGAACATCACCCTAGTACACTCATCAGGCACATAACGTTTGGGCGAGATTTTGGTGAATGTGTATGAGGTACATGTATAACTTAAAAAAATACAACATGGTTTATTGCAGGTGGATAGTATACAAATATTGAATGCTTCGAGTGGTGTAGTAAAACTAGCCTCCCGAGGTGATCCATGGACATTCTATTTTCCCGAGGCGAATTCAATATTTGTTTTATAACACTTCACCCACAGATTCTGCTTGGTTATAATATTTTAAATTATTTAAATCTGAACACAGTTGAAATAAACTTCAATTTCAATAAAAAACTACCCCTTCTCGAAATGTTTGAACCCAAAGTGGCGCGCTCTTTGGAACAAAACGCGCTGCGTGCAACGCGCACACCAGCATGCATTTGCACACAAATGCCGCGCGGTGGAAATAGCACTTTGGTTGCTAATGGTATAGTACTTTGGTTGCTACAGGTATAGTACTTTTGGCCGTGCACAGAAAGATAGCAAAAATAGAAAGTATCATGTGACTCGCTCTCGGCCAATCAAGATACAGAATCTGTGGGTGAGGTGTTATAATTGATATTAGCTCCCCGAGGTATGGAAGCTGACCAATTACTGCCCGAAGGAACTTGTGTCTGGAAACTTCCAACACCGAAGGGAGATAATATTGACTATCCACCCTCAAACCATGTTATATTTGTATACTTTTAGTCTGGTACATGTGCATGCACCACGTACACTGTACTACAGTACGTGTCTGGACATGTACATGACCTTCAAACTATGAGCATCGTTATGTATACATAGATGCTTCCTGAATCGTACAAAATCTACCAACACTCTTTTCTTGAAGCCTTCAAAACACAATTCATTCATAAACCACACGGCAAAACTGATAGGTTCACAAATTTTAATTGGTTCTATGGTTCTCTAGGCTGAATATCACAGGTAAAAAAAAATGGGATTTAAACCTGAAATCAACAGAATAATTCACATACATGTGCTCTTCCAATATCATCTTCTCAGCGCAAAATGTAATAACAATGTATTTAGGTACACATACGGGACTCTCTCGTGCAACATTGTAGCACATTTTCATAAATATCCACAAATCAGTAAGTGTGTTTACATTTACAAGACCATTTACACGTCTCAATCGCAAAATTCACCTGGATGGAGCCTTTGCCTGAACTGATGCGAGCTAATTCCCAAAATTACACAACAGATCGCTTTTTGCAGACACACGCACGTCTGCGATATTACCACGCGACAAAATCGTGTAAGTATAGGCCTTTAGGCACTCTCCAAAATTGTCCATTTCTGACAAACATGACAGTAATTTTAGTAAAGCCTAATCATCAGCTCCATGGCCTGTACATGTACGGATTTTATGACCTCAAGAACTGGGCCTGATTTCTTGGCTCTGCTTACCGTTAGCGAAAAATCCCCCGCTTACTACAGCAGAAAATTGTTTGCTTATGGTAAGTGTATTTCACGGATTAGCCAGGAATTTTGGCCTGTGCGCATGCGTACATCCCGTAACTAAGGATTCTGTGCTTACAGGGTTAGCACAGACTTCTTCTGCTGGCGCGGTTGAAACAAAATGGTGATCGTAAGCGTAGAAATCCATGGTTAACAGAGCCAGGGAATTGGGCCCAGAACAAGACTGTAAAACATGTATACTGACTGGCCATTTATTATTTTTCCTCAAACAAAGTTTGGACTGCACACATGCTTAGTGCATGTAACTCAAACCTAATTGTGCATGTTCAAATTTCGTCCAAGCAGTTTTTGTGTACACGTGTAATCTCATCCTGTGTGGTTGACACAACGCCAACTCACTAGCTCAGAGGTCAGGCCCAACACAAGTTCGTTCAATTTCTCTTGTTCACCCCTGCAACAGTTCAATGGACACACAATGTCTGCACTTCTCAATATACATTCGTAAGTCCTACACTTTAATACACCAAGTGCTACCACATAACACGTCAAGTACGTACTACACTAGTTACGACACCATATGTACAGAAATGTACTTGGTACAAATCAAATTCTAACGAATTCAACTTTACATGTACGTAACCAATCAACAACTTTATAGATTCCTACGCATCGTAACCATACTACACATTATTAAGTATTAGATTCCTAAGCATTTCACCAGATTTCAGAACGATGGCTACACAATTAATAGTTTATCTGCAAAGAATTTGAGAAACAAAATTATGAGCACAATTGGTCACAATCTCCTAAAATGGGCTGTGCGTGAAATGCGAGTTTCAGAATGTCAAATTTGGGCGTTTCTCACTTAAAATAGCCTGGATGTTCACATAAAGTCAATGGATGTCGAGATATGACCTTGCTTACGGAGCGTATTCGCGGGAGATACTGTATTTGTTGCAGAATGGAGTTACGACCTTGTTGCATTGATGCGACGAATTTATTAAATAAATAAGTACAAATTTGCACAACATAAAACATGGTGTATTTCTTCATGCAAACAGAATGGCGAATTCACTATTTGAAGGCACGTGGGAACATTTACAATTTCCCAGAAACATACCCACGGATTTAGTGAGAAAATCCTTGCTCAAAGTGAAGATAGGACTCACCAAATTATTCCACCTTAAACGGTACCATTCAGAAGAACACAATCATTGAAGATGGCTTAACCAGTTTGCGCCGGAAGCCGTGTATGTGCGCAAAAGTTCTGCAGTATTCGGAACGGATGACAGATAAACACACAGGAAGCGAGGCCGGAAATATCTGTCAGGGACCTGTTCGTGGTGAGCCAGGCCGGAAATATGAATGTGCTGCCCGAGGGTGATGGTTTCAACCCGCCTGGTTCGTGTCAAAATAATTCCGGCGTGAACTGGTAAAGAAAAGATGCCCGCAGGCTCAGTTTTTTATGCGTGTTAGGCCGTATTGACTTTTTTATCTTTAGACTACAACAAATGAGGTTCAATAAGGATTGCACTTTTTAGTTTAGGACTCACAGTCCCTAACATATTGTCACCGTTTTCACGCAGGGTCGGGCATGTCAAAAACGATATTTTTATTCAGTTTTGAGTTTCTTTTTGCTCTTTGGCTTTAAAACATACCGCTCTCAACCATTCTGAGTTGCTTCTGAAAAGCAAAACTTGCAGATAACGTCTCAATAATGTTAACCCTCCTGTAGAAATTAATAAAACTGGCCAAGCTTTAAAATAAATATCGTCAAACTGAATTACTGAGAAACTGAAAGATTTCAATACATGCATCACTTGCACATTATGTAGTTAGTAGATAAAACCTTCATCATTTACATGTTCTTCATGTGGATGATGCATTGGCATTAATGAAAAATGTACAAAAAGTCTGAATTAGCTGTTCAAATCATGTTGAACTTTTGCCAGGTAAATTGCAGGCCTACTTGACGTAGGTGATGGTCTGTAGTCCGTTAGCATCCAACACCGCATGCTTGATCATGTTCAGTTCGTCCACGATACTGGCCAAGATATGGTTCTGGTTTTCCATGAGCTTCAAGAATCGCTCCTGAAAGTCTGTTGTGGTTGTTCCAAACACGCCGTCAGATTTGGGATCTTCCTGGCGTTGTTTCGTCGTACCCCTTGCAGCATCACTGGCAAGTGAATGTCGCGGTGACATTTCACCATTTTCCACGACGACCTTCTTAGATGCTGTTTCAGTAGGTACTTCCTCAGTGCTGAAATGGTCCACCAACTCACCAGCTCTTTGCAGATGCAAATCAGGGACTGTGTCGCCATCTAAACGATTGGCAGCGTCCTCATCATCTACATGAACGATGTTTTCTTCCTTGGTGTCAATCTCTGAGACCGGACTCCTAGAACGTCTCTTACACGCCGCGGCTTCCGGTAAGTGTTTGCGCTTCCGATCGTTGTGACTCGTTATCGACTTCTGCTGGAAGCTCCCAGAGGCTTCCAGATCATTGGGTCTGGAGGGCACCGCACCAAGGTAGTACATTTGGTAGTACTCTTCGTACAGAGCGTAGATCCTCGCCGAGCCTCGCAGCTTCCGTTCGGGGAGTTGACCCCCTTCTTCGCAGGTCTCGGCTTGCAGCAGGATGTCCCGGTAGGATCTCCCGATCTTCTTGAGGAAGTTCTGGACCACCAGGCCATCAGTTCCCATGCAGGAGCCCAGCATCTCGTAGAATTCGTCCATCCGACGTAGCTCTTTGGCCATGAGGTAGTCTCGGTAGGAGTTGCGAAGCAGGTTGAAGAACTCCTCAACCTGCTCGCTTCCCCACATGAATCTTTTGGACATTTTGCCGTCCTGGTATAAAATGACAAAGGAGGCAAATCAAAGTCAAAGAATCCAATCAAGATCTGTTTTAAGAACTTAATGTTTTAAGAACATAATCAAATTGAGCTTTATGGAACAAGTTACTGTCCCAATCTTTCAAAATCATTTATTTCTGAAAGTTGTTCAATCCAACAAAATCTTCCAACAGCAATGTGAGAATCCTGCTGAATCCAACAGAATCCAACAATAGATGCTCGCTGAATCCAACAGAATCTAATAGGTGCACAGGTCTTTTGTTACGCATGAATTAATCACTATACTTCAACGGCAACTATTCGCTGTTCAAACTTGACAGATTCTGCAACATTTGCGGTAATTTCGTTGACAAAAAATGTGAAATATTTCATGACGAGCTTACCTGAGAAGCTTCAGTTCTTGATAAGATGATCTCTGAGTGTCGCAGACTGCACAGGTATTCATCGACCAACGCAGCTAAAACTAAAGACAGCTTTCGCGTCGTCAAGGTAGGAAAAGATGAGCGGAGGCTTACGAGGCTTAAATCTAAGAACTGTTCGTTACGCTTTGCATCGAGATTGGGTTCTGGGCGGTCCAAGTCACATCAGCCGATAAGTCGTCTGAGTAAAGTCCTTTAAGAAAAGACACAATGGCATGATTTAGTTTGTTGGCAAAACGCTGCATGTAGCAACTTTACTTTGCATGCTCTGCAAGACTGCAACAAAAATACCCTCTGTTTTTTGGCTTGATTTACGACTTGGTCAACTCTAAATGGAACTTTGCTACTTTATGGCCACCTCATCCCCTAGGAAAACTTGAAACTTTTGAACATTTTGTCAAGTGAAATTTAGGTCCAGGTAATGTCTTCTGTAAGTTGTGTAGTCCATTGTCTGTCGGTCAGACTTTTACTCAGACGTCAACTTGTGACTTGGACACTGCTCCATCAACTCGCCGACCCAAAACTCCCGTAGCATTTGAGTCTTGGTCCATTAAAAAAATGGTTTTGGATTTGTTGTCCTGATGCAGCTCGTCCCTGACAAATCGCGATCAAACCACGGCAGAGGCCTCTATCAACAAGATCGCATCCACTCACTAACATTTTGGAACAGGGAATATCCGAACACACATGTACCTTACGCCAACTATTGAGAATTTGAGTTACTGAGTGCATGTGGCACTAGGCACGCTTGTCATTTTGACAGGTGTTGTGTGTTGCTGCGTTCATCAGCAGGGTTTCTAGCCAAAATCGCGTTCCCTGGAGGGTTAGGGTTGAAGCATTTTTGGTGAGAACCTTTCTGAACACCTAGCATGTCGTGGGCCTTGATCCCACAAAATCCTTTCAAAGACTCTCACAGATTCTGCGTGATCTCAACCTTTGTTCAGAACTTGCAACATAAATCATGGATCATCCCCAGCCAGGTCAATAATCACTATCAAGCACTCTCTTTTACAATAATCATGTAATGGTGTACGGCTGAAAATGACACAAGCACCTATGGAAGCAGCGGGAGCCATTTCCCACAGACGCAAGTTTTACAGGAAGTCATGGCCAAGTAGTTCGGATGTATAGCCAGTATTGACCTTGTGGAGTCCGACAGAAAACTTGACTGAGGACCTGCCATGAAATCCTGCCTGTATGAGAGTCATTTCTGAAATCTCATTGATCTCTCTCAAATGACGTCCCTGCAGATTTGCCACGTGCATCGGCATTGTGGGAGTCAAATTTTCGTGACGCGCAGCGGCTGTGCTGTGCTTTGAAGAAATTTCGAGCAACATGCGAGCGTGTTTAAAACATTTTACACACTGCGCATTCACGCACCTGATGGCGTTGAATACACAGTTGTAATTTTTCCTATGAAGATGGCGTCCTATGAGAGGGGTCTACTGGTTGCCATATATGCACTTCCATCATGCTGTCTTTCCCGTCGTCTGATTGGCCTACTCCTTCTGTATGCCTACATGTCATGATCGACGCAGTGCCCTGTTCATACATGTGCGGTTATTTAGATAAGTTGACCCCCCTATACTACATCAAAGGACTTCAGGGTAATGCTGCACTCACAGTTCTCTGACTCTGAGAGTAAGAGAGTTTGAAAACTGGCTTTTGTTTTGTGGAATGCTGTGACAATTGGCAGACTTAATGTTTGGGTACCTCATGATTGTTGATGACTCGTTTTAAGTCCCCCTCAACTCCTACCACGTAACGTTACAGAAAAATACAACAGTGTACAAGGGCATGGGAATTGAATCTTGGGGAAAAAAAAAGATTCTGAAAAAAGAAAGAAAACATAGGCCTACTGTGATTTTCAATCAATATCGATCAGCATGATTCGAATGGAGCGATTTGGCGGGACGTGGGAAGGGCCACACGGCTGGGGCCGCATTAATTAACTGCAATTCAAGAACTAGAACGTGGTTATTCTGCATGTATAATAACCAGGGTTACGGGAGTCTATTTATTTATTTTACCATACGGGAGTAAACCGTAACATGATCAGTGATTCAATGTCTCAAAATCATGACAATCAGATGTTCGTAACGTCTCGATCGTACGAGCGTACGGCCTCCGATATGCCTCTCATTAATACTCATGCACAAAAAGGCAAGATTCCATCATAATTATTGTTATTGCAAAAAACTGGCCAACAATCATGACAATCAAATCAATCATGACAATAATATAGGCCTACAATGCAATGCAACTTTGCAAGTTTGCAACAATGAGAAATGCACACAATCTTGAATTTGGCAATGTTTGAAATCCAATCAACATGATCAAAAAAGAAAAAAATGATTTTGAATCAGTGAGGGCATCAGGGCATAGGCCTAGATCTACAGGCCACTTGAACCAAATACTTACCAAATCAAAGATGAGCTGAAATCTGGTAGTTTTCTAGTTTTTAAGAGTTGTTATTCGCGCCCCCAACGCCACTAGCCTGCACCTGCACATGTGTTGTTGACAGCTGAAATGCATTGTGGCAGCGAAAAATAAACAGCCGTCGTATTTATCCTCCGCGCGTCAAGACGCCGCGCATGCGGCCAAAGAACACATATTTCCCAGGTACTCGGCAATCTGTTAATAATTTACGTCAGACGCGCGGCGGGAGACCAGCCAAATTTCGCCAGCGGCTGTTTACTGTCGACGCTTCGATCGATCTCTACGAACGCGAGCGGTGTTGTGCAGAAACCTCTCAATTTTTGTTCAGTTTGCAGTCTACAAACCGGCCGAAATAATGGCGATCCGGAGGCGGGGAGGCAGCACCAAGAACCCACCGATTCTCAGCCATGAGTTCGTGATCCAGAATCACGCGGACATCGTTTCATGTGCCGCTATGCTGATCTTGCTCGGCCTTATGTTTCAGGTCGGTGGTGTGTTTTTGCAGTAAAACTTCACGTGTGCTAAGGCCGATTGCCACATCATCACAAGTTTGTGCACAAAGTGAATGGGGGTTCCCCAGGTTCCCCATATGGCGAAGTCAGAATGCTGAACAACCAAAAACACATCGATTTTTTTGAGGAACACGAAACGATTGTTGTTCCATTTGTTCCACAAACATTATCTTTGAAGATGTTTGGTCATGTTTGTTGAAAAATGTGAATTGTTGATTCTCACAAAGCATGCCAAAAAAAAACACCAAAAAAAATGTTTTCGGGGACTAAGTTTCAGCATGTTCAGTTCAGTCATGTCAGTTGTACATGAACAGTGCCCTCAGTGTGAACAAGGTTTGTTATTAATATTTAAATTTAGCGACAATGAAAATACAAAGTGTAGTGGGGTATTCTGTTCTGAAAAGTTTACTGAGGCTTGTTTTGGAATTTGTTTTCAAACATCAAATTGCAATGCGGGTTTGGATGAAAGTTAAAACGAATAACGAGACGATGCCTAACTTAAATCAATTTTTATAGAGCCAGCAATTTGTGAAATTTGTGAAATTGATTGTTTATAGAGCTGTATTCATTTCATAAATACAAAATTAGAAAAAAACAACATTGTTGCAGGCAATGCAGGCCAGCCAACTTTTACGCATTGAGCATTTGTCTCACGTATTTCAAGTTTTTCTCACGTACTTAAGCCCACACAGGATTTCTCATGCTAAAAATAGTAATTAACTCCATAAATCACTCCAAACTCAAATATGATGTTTAAATGATGATCTTTTGCTTAAAAAAGGTTTAAAGTTGTCAGAAGTTGCCTCAGATCGCACCACAGACTTTTAATCTGATATTTATAATGATATTATAAATTGTTTATTGTCCATCAATCAACTTGATCAAAAGGTTCATTTCTTTCTACAGATCACCAGTCCGTTCTCGTCGACATTTGTTGCCATGCAGTATAATGTCACCGTCAACAATACTGAAGGTATGAATTCACCGAAAGCTTAAGGCGAAGTAAAAAAAAAACATGTTTAGCGTCCCCGCCCGCTTCCTTTTTAGAGGCCGCCTCCTTTTTTTTTTTTTTTTTTTTTTTTTTTAAAGACAAAAATTGATAAATTTTAACGATCTCTGCGCAGAAGAGATGTTCGGTTCTGCATAGTTACATCATTTTGGTCACATTTTCTGTTGCATCTTGCCCATAAGAAGCCAATATGTCATTTCCTGAGTCCAAGTGGCGGCCATTTTGAAAAAAGCTGGTAACCATCTTGAAAAATAGCCCGGCCGCGTTGTCTTGAAAAATGTGTCGGGCGGCCATTTTGAAAAGAAAAAAAAAAAAAAAAGGGCCTCCTCCTTCCTTTTTGTCAAAGAGGCAGGACGCTAAACATGTTTGTTTTTTTATTTTGCCTAACGTGCTATGAATTCACAAGATCTAGCACTGTGCTTCGGTAGAATGAGTGCCATAGCTGACAGTATATCTGCCCTGTGCACAAACTATAGAGGGCGCCATACATGTTTCCTTTCTCCCGTTGGTTTGTAAATGGGCAAATCCGTGAACTGGTCACGTAGGCGTGTATAGGTCGTGTCAATGCTTATGCGCACCCATTCTCGGATTTGCCTATTTACAAACCAACTTACTAACGGAAATTGCCAAAAATGTGTCACTTGACTCATCTTTGGAAAGGATCTCCTTTTATTGTTTTCTTAAAAATGACAGCATGCCAGAAAGAATAATCTCACAGGGAGTTTAGTGACATTACTATTTTTGAACCAAGTAAGCTTTTCAACAATAATTTTGTCAGTTACTTTTTGGATAGCTGCAAATGATCAACTGTGCATTCACTAATATTTGTTTCATCTCCAACCTGCCAACTCTAGATCCCGAGGCTGAACCCACCACCCTGTACCATCATGGCCTGCTGGACAGCTGCAGCGTGTTCTTCTACTTCCTCATCTGTGTGGTCATCCACGCGGTCATCCAGGAGTACATCTTAGATGTAAGTTGGAGACGGAAGTTTATAAAATCAACCAATCTTTGAAGTTATTTCTTGTTCGGTAGTTTGTAGAAAAAGAGGATTGAAAGAGACTTTTTATATTTTTTTCTCCAAATTCATGTTCTTAAAGTTTTAATTTGATACCATTTCATGGTTTTTAAAATACAAAATTTGAAGTGTTTTACAAATTATGTTGAGAGGGGAGGAGTAATCGTCCTTACTCGCATCAGAAGCTGAATTGCGAAGGATGCAGCTACAACGTGGTCGAGCCGAAAACATGTAAAGGCGCCTTATGCAGACGCCATGCGACCCATGTCTGACCACGGAGCACAGCCAGATCGAAAATGTTGATTTTTGCATAATCAAAAGTGTTGATTTTTGCATGATCGAAAGTGTTGAGGAAGATGAGGCAACTGAAAAGATTTTATTTTGTCAATTGTGTCCTCAAGCAAGATATTTTACTGCAATTGATTTCTGTCCCAATAAAAAGAAGATGAACAGAAAAAAAATAGGCTAACTTGTTTCTTTTACATCCATGTTATCTTATTTCAAATTTCTTGCTGTTCAACTTTTTTTTTCTCCGACAGAAACTAAACCGCAAGCTTCATCTGTCCAAAGTCAAACACTCCAAGTTCAATGAATCTGGCCAGCTGCTGACCTTCTATCTTATGTCTGTCATCTGGGGCATCCAAGTCATGATCAAGGTGGTTACAAGTTTGTTTAAAAAATACCTGCTCTCTTCATGTAACTTAGCACATGTCAGTTGTGGCAAAGCACTCCAAAGCGTATGCCAAATGCATGCAAAAGCGTATTGAAGGATGTTTTGGCCCGACCACCAAGTGAATTTGGGCGATTCACAATGCAGTGCGCCACCAAGAGTTTGTCACGGAGAGTTCATTTTTCCCAGTGCATTGTGGGAGATGGTCGACAAATTCGCAGCGCGGGACATTTGGAATTGGTCGTTTTCCCTGTCAATAGTTTCGTAATCGTATGATTCAAGTATCTGTTTACCATTTTCTTCGCTTTGTATCAATATGGTGTTTTTTGTAAGGTGGCAGAACGCTATGCCCCAGTCTGTAACAACTTAGCTCAAGTTGTCTGCTGACACTCATTCTAATGGGCCATGTTTTGTCGACTGTAAACTTGAAAAAATTGACTCTCCGTGGCAAACTCTTGGTGGCGCAGTGCATTGTGAATCGCCCGAATTGTGGAATTCATAAAAATGCTGTTAGATGGCTTATACAGGGTGAGTAAAAAATAAAGCGAAACCAAAATGGCAGGACGAATTTTCGAATGAAGTTTTGCCTGTAGCACTTTCAAAATCTAGGATATGAAAACCCAGTCATTAAGCTTTCTTTTGGTGCAAGAATCATTCAAATCACTCAGGTACTTTACAAGTTACGGAACTTTAAACACAAATACCGTTTTCAAGTTCTGTCCACGGATCACAAAAAAGTAAGTATTCTTTCTCATAGGGATGCATGTGAATTGTTTTCGTTTTGCTGAAAAAAAACCCAGCGTTTTTGTAAAAAAAATATAAACCGAAAAAGTTGTGATCATTTTCGACTTAATACCGACGTGTACAATTTCTCTTGTTTTTACCTGTACAGGAAGGATTGACAGAGAACATCTCTCACCTCTGGGACGGCTACCCTTATCTCCTCAAGACTTTCCGATTCAAGTTCTACTTTATCGTACAGGTAAACGTTCAACTCCAAGTATAAATCACACACTAAATTATTTGGAAATGCGCAGCCGTATTCTATCAACTGTTTACAGTAAAGATTAAAATCCATTTTAGTTATTTACAATCCATCCAGGCGATTGAGATCTTCTGATGCTCCTTTGCTTGTTGTCCCTCACACTCACAAATCTTGGGGTGATGGATCATTTTCTTACGCAGGTCCTCATCTTTGGAACAAACTACCCCTCGCCATTCGCAATATCTCATCGCTTTCTGAATTTAAAGTGGCCCTGAAGACCTATTTATTTCAGATCACTCAGAATATTCTTGTTTAGTTAAATTTAATTGTTTTGTTATTTCTGATTTGATCTAATTTTTGCATTGCGCCGTGAGTGTAATTTATGGTGGATACCGGCACGTTATAAATTGCCGTTATTATTATTAGTACTACAGTTGCCAGGCTAAATATTTGTTTTTGAAATATTTGTTGCCATTCTTACTAATATAAATTCACCTTTTATCCTTTTGCAGATTGCGTATTGGCTCCACATCTACCCTGAACTGTATTTCCAGAAAGTTAAAAAGGTGAGTTGCATTTGTCATCATCGGGATCACTGATATTGTTTTTCTCCAATGTTTTTTTTCTTTGTACAGTAAACAGGCATGCAACTTTTCCTCGGATCCACTGATTTCCTCGTTTTTTACTTCTCATAAATGCCATTACAAATTGAAAAACACTGTACAAAGTCTTGTGTGGTTTGGAATTTTCCTCGTTTTTTTCTTCCCAGTTGAATCAAGAAAGTGACTTATCAGTTTTGATTTAATTCAGGAAATTTTGTTGTTCCTTTTTTCCATGTTTTCAGGAGGAAGTCAGTGCCCGCATCAGATACGCATCCTTTTACCTTGCCTTCATATTGGGTGCATACATTCTCAAGTAAGTCACCGCATAACAGTATAGACCTTTTGCGATAGAGTGCCCTCACAAGGGGACAGATTTTGATATTTTAATCCAGCGACTATGAGAGTGCTAAGTGTCTACTCGTGCGTCCTCCATGACGACCCTGTATGCAGTTTGTTCTCTTGAAAATAGTGAAACCGGGGTAGTAGGGATGAACAAAACACTGCAACAAAAACCCCACATTGTGACAAATAAGGTTGCTGAGGGACACTACAACCATGATATACTGAGTGGGACTGTACAAACTGGTATAAAACAATGTCCACACAAAAGAAGCACATTATTATCTGTGGGTTCCCCTTAGTTCCCGAATATGCCAAAATTGTAACAAGGCATGTAATTTTGTGACTTGAGTTGAATCAAGTCGAGTAAGGGACTCGGGTCGAGTCACCAAAATTGTGCCTCGTGTCTGACTCGAGTCGAGTCATTGACTCGAGTCATTACAACTCTGCGATATGCTATGCTTGCAGCACTAGATTTTTTTCTGTGCTCACATATCACCATGTAAGAGCCCAAAAGTAATTAATGGCACGGACATCAGGGGTAATAGATGTAATTTGATGTGTGTGTTCTAGCCTTGGTCATCTTGCCTTGGTGTGCCTTGTGATTCATTACGTCGCTGAGCTCACATTCCACGCCGCCCGCCTCCTCTACTTCGGAGAGAAAGCTGAAGTCTCCGGACCGTTGTAAGTTGTCATAATTATTTTCATAGAATATTTTTTTATTTTTTAATTGTCGATGTTGTAACTTCCATTTTGATGGAAATTATTTGTACACATAGTTACATGATTTCAACCAATGTGAACGTGTGATTTCGATTACCATTTTTGTGTGACAGAGGATGCTGTTGCCCCTTTGCTGTTCATAAACAACAATAGCAATTGTTTTTTTCTGTTCGCGCGTCCAGATTCAGTTTGTGGTTTGCCCTGTTCTTGATTGCGCGTCTGAGCGTGGTGACGCTGACTGTCCTGGTGGTCTGGTTCGGACTGGGCAAGCTGGAGACTACTGGACTGGACATCAAAGGTGGCAACTTCAACACACCACTCATCAGGTATGTAGTGCAGTTGTCGGGAGTCGAACCCATGACCCACTGAACAAGGGTTAGAAATTCTTGTCACTCAAACCCCCCCCCCCCCCCCAAAGTGCTGTCGGCAAGTTGTTTACAAGTCCTCACAAGTCCCCCAATCCCAGTTCAACTCAAAAGCTTTTTTCAATTGAAGTAGGCCTATGAGTTGCAGAGATGCCACTTTTCCGGTTTTAACCGGAATTCCGGTTTTTAAAAAAAATCTCACAAAATTCCGGTTTTTCCGGCCGTCAAATTAACCTGAAAAAGAGAAGAAAAACCTGTGGAAATGCGTTGATTTTTACCTCGATTTAGTACATTTAGGCGCACGCATGGCACAACGTTGTTCGTTGAAGTAGTCTTAAAAACAGTCTTTGTGTATGTTGTTGCCGAGCCTGCATGCGATACAAACGGCCAACGTACTTAATTGCACGCAGTATACAACGGCGCCTCGCGCGTGCTTCACCGCGTGCGGGCGTGTTGTGTGCTAAGCACACGTAGCATTCAGCCTGGAAATCAAGTCTATCATTTCAGCTATCGGTGGTTTCCGATCGCAGTGATATATGTGAATACAAAAAATGCGGGTACCAACCATGTTTTCGTTGAGCGCATCGCGTAGTGCAAGGATCATGTACACCGACAGCAGTGTTGTGGAATCATGCATGTTTCGTGTCGAATATTACGTTGGAAATTCGGGTAGGCAGAATAAATATTAGGATGGAAAAAGTCAAAGTGATTGAACGAACCGACAGCTTTCAAGGCCATAGAAGCAAAATTAAAAAATAAACAGAACTTGGCTTGGCTACAAGATAAAGATGACAGCGGGGACTTTGTGTCGGACACGGAGTGGCTTTTTCACACACACAAAAGTCCGGTTTTTTCAAGCAGCCGTTCCGGTTTTTTTCAAGCAGACCCAGTTCCGTTTTTTTCAAGCAAACCTTGTGGCATCTCTGGAGTTGGGCATTCCTTTAGTGTTCATCCCGTTACTTGTGACTATAGACTAGCGAATCGACTTGTGATTTACTTGTGACTGGACTTGTGATTTCTTGTGATGGCTTTTCTAGTTATTTGTCAATAATGCGATTTGGAAGCAACTTTGCCGTCACGAGAGACTCGCTGAAAAATTTACCAGGGTGAAATCGTTGTCCACTCTTGCGAATTCGCAGTGCGAAAAAGTTGCCATCACATCACCAGTTTGTGTTCTGGTTTTCGTTTTCGCGCTGAGTACGAACCGGCCTTTAAGCAAGATTTCCAATCTGAAAAGAATGAAAATCTGATCAAAAGAAGCTGCCAAAAGGCTCCAAAGAAATAGATTTAATGTACAAAACTCTTGATCGTTTTGTAAGAAAGAAAAGCCAATGAGGAAGAAAATTACTAGAACTTAAGAATAGAATTTGGTACCTTATTCCCAGATTGATTTTGATTTTTGTCAATTTCATCGCAATTGACCTATCGCCGTTTGCGAGTTAGCCACGCCCCTTAGACAACCCTATGGACGTTTTGTACACTAAGTTTTGTTTGTGTCAGATTTTGCGCGTTCCGCATCCATTCGTATATCATGCAATTGGACAATATTTCACAAGCTGAGTTGACGCAATTCTACCGCGATTCTACCGCGATAGGTCAATTTAACCCTCTTGATGTTTCCTTGATTCTCCCAGGGTCAGCATTGTGGCAGGCGTGTCCCTCTTCCAGGCTCTGCTCCTGTGGAACTTCCTGACCTTCCAGCTGCGTCGCCGACGGGAGAACCAGCTGGCCGCCGCCCCGCGCAAGAAGACGCCCATGGGCAAGTCCAAGGACAAGAAGGCCAAGAAGGAAGAAGGTATGGACTCAAGCGATACAAATTTTTTAACCCTAACCACCCCAACTCCATCAAAATCCACTCCCCCATTCCGGTGGATTTTGGGGGACTTGGTCCAGAAGGCCTGGCGTGACTAAATATCGATGGAGTATGATGGACTTGGGCCTAATGGACTGAAGAAGTGCTAGGGGTATCCGATTGATTTCGCCTGGCTTCCTGTACTGCTATTGCGATAAAAGCCATGTGTAGCAAGTCCATGAATGTCAACCAGTGCGTCAGTGGTGGATTCCATTGTGTCATGTACAGCTTTGTATTAGGCTCACAGTGATTGATGGATTTTTATGGACTTGGTCCAGTACCTAGTAAAAGACGCTACGGAGTTAGCGTTAATGAGACTGCACCTGCAATATGCCTTTTCGCAAATTTAACTGCGCATGTGCGCAGTTAAATTCGGGAGATAAACAAAGCAGATGAAAGCACAAGTCTGTGGGGAATGTGGTAACCGAAACACATTCTGCAATTTTTTTTCTAATCAAAAAGGTGATTATGTTTGCACAAAAGTTGGAGCGTTCAAATTCTCAATACATCTTAAACCATGGTGCTTAAAAAAAAAATAAAAAAAATAAAAAAAAAATTCAATTTTTTTTATTGACCTCAAAACAAGAATTTTTCTTTGATTTCGTTGGTACCTGCTATGATTTTGCACACCTGTGGCGGACTGTGAATCATGATGTGCTTTTAACTTGCGAAAAGGCTTATAGAATGAGACTGTTGCTGTACATATACCAAGATTTTGCATTTACTGAAGCTTGACAGTGCAGCTTTATCAACCAAACCCTGGCATATTTGAGCTTGTTTACAACATTCTTAATTAAGAAATGATTTTAAAACTTTCATTTTCTAATTTTTGTTCTTACAGTCAACAAGAAGCTTAAGGCCGAGAGCGTTGAGGACGAGGGTTTCGGAGACATGGCCGTCGTTGCGCCGGCTGAGAACGGAGGAATGCGTACCAGGAGCAAGAGCAAGAAGAAGTAAAATCCAACGCCTTTCTTCTGTTTTTAGGTCATTGTCATATAAGTTTCAGTCACATATCCCAGTGTAGAAATGTGTTCCAGACTAGGTAATGCTGTAGATGCATTTAAATCATATAGGATCATTTGCTTTTTGTGCATTTTGTTCGTTTCCAATAATAACACCGCTCAAAATCCATAGAAGAATGTTCAAAACTTAACCTGTTGAAGTTTCGGCTCGGTGGATATTACACTTTGCGAGAAAACAATGACAAAACCATGCACAACCTTTTGATCCTGAAACACGATTTCGTCCGTAGAACTCTTCATTTCCAACGATCAGTCAATCCCCTACATTTCTTGATTTCTTCAAAATGACAGCAAGCCAGACGGAATAGTTATCACAGGGTGTTTAGTACCAGTACGATCTTTAATCCAAAGTAAGCTTTCTGGTAATAGTAATTAGGTTACTTTTGGGATAAATGCAAATGATCCTATATGCCTTTAAACGTTGTGACGTCGAATTAGCTGCATATTTTGCATTCGCATGAAGCACGGACCAGCTGTAATCGCTATATGCTTTCTTTAGTGCATCTTTGTTTTTTTAAAGTTGCTTGCCCAATTTCATGGAGATAGTAAGCGTAAGATGATGTTTTACAGCAACGTGCTGAGCAAAAGTACACCAAAAAATTAAAACTAAAAAAAGAAAAGAAAAAAGTAACACACTACGCGATGTGTTGAACCTATTCTTGCTAAGCTCATATTTTCTGTGCTGACCACTTTCTTCTTCTTCGGCAACCCTGTCCAAATGGTCCCTGCTTTAAGCTGAAAACAAATCTGAGCTTCTCGGAACCGTGACAGAAACATTTAGAACTTGTTTAACTAATTTCATCTTCTTGGTTTTTGGGGTAAACTTTGGATTAAGTCTGTTCTCACCCATGAGACGGCCTAACGATTTTTTTTTGGGGGGGGGGATGTAGGGGTGTGCATCAGAACCAGGTACCCGAGTGCCCGACCGTTGATGTCAGGAACCGGTTCCAGATTATGGGATTGGGTACCCGTGACCAACTTTGCAAATAACTTACGAAAAAGAAAGGTTTGGAATGCCATTTGTGGGGAATTTTCAAAATGAAAACTAGGCCACAAGGAAAATTAAAACAGACTTCACGTTTATGTGCGTTTAACTCGGACAGATGACGCTTGCGAAAGTTGCAGTTTACTCCGTAAAGCTATAAGAACCCTTCAGACAACTTCCGGGATTTGAATTTTGGGGTTGGGTTTCTCTGTACGGGTATCCGGGTACCCGTTTTTTCTTGAATAGGATATCCGGTTTCCGTATAACCCGTAAATGCACACCACTAGTATAATTCTTGTCATAAGTGATTAATTAAGATACTTTAAAAAACAATTTGTTGAAATCTCTCTCTATTTTATTTTTCTGTTTTCCTCTTATAGATTATCTTCTCAATTTCTTTCCATTTTCCGTTGTTTCTGTATTCTCTGAATAGAAATTCCCTTTTGTTTTTTCTTTTCTTTTCCTGAACTTTTTTCTTTCAAAGTATCCGATTTGTAAATATGTACAAAGTATTACACTATATTCACATTGTGCACATTGTATCTTTGTGAACATCAATTGAGCAATGTCGTTCCAGAAAATATATCTTTGGAAGTTACATTCAATACTTCTTAAAAACCCCAAGCTCAAAATTTAGTTCACATGCTTAAGAAAATATTTTTTTTTCATTGACAATTTTCTTTTACTTTCTTTAAAAGTAGTTCCAGCATTTAAAATATAAACTGTGGTGTTTCGGGGATTTCTTTTAACTTTTTTTCCTTGTTAACATTGTTGTAAAAAAAAAGCATATTTTAAAAAGAAAGACAAAAAAAAATCCTTCATTTGTTCCTATGGTACAGTATTAAAACTATTAAGTGAAAAGTGGTCATTTTTCGTTTTGAATTGTTTGGAAAATATAATTAATGTAAGTGGGTATATTAAGATAGTTGTAGGGCTGTGTCAATTCGAATAATTGAATATTTGTCTAATCTATCTTCCATTTGATGGAATATTCCAGTTAGAAATTCAGCCCTGAAGGTTTCATCATAATTTCTTTCAACCAATTTATATCAACATAATCATTACAAGGAATGCTAACTTTGAACGTTCGCTTATTTTATTTGGCCAAAATCTCTTTCCATATTCTTTGATGGATTCTACATTTTATTGTTCAACAACACCTTGAAATAAGCTTTCAAAATGCCATTTTGTTGTAAAAAAAATGTGATTTTGTTTTTGTTTTTATTTCATGACATTTTACCTCGGAATATTTGAATCGAAAAGTAAATATCTTAATATCTGATTATCGATCAAATATTCGATTTTTTGAATAATCGGCACAGCCCTATATAGTTGTTGATTTACTAATTGTAGTTATTTAACATAGCTCTTAATTAATGAAATAAGTCGTATGCTTAATTGAATGAGTTGGAACGTGAAATATGCTTAAGTTTGTGGACATTAAACTTAGTTGTCGTATTGAATTGAAATTGCTTGCTTTGAATGGATTTCATTGTTTAAAATGAAATCATTTCTGTAGTTGTGTCTCCGTAACTATTAAAAACCAAACATATTTACCTTAAAATTAAGTGATGTTTATAATTTGTTGTAACTCATAATTGTATGTGTGGATTTTTAATCATTTGCATTTTTTCTCCTTTGTCAGTTAATTTACTTACTAATTTGATAACAATTTTTTTTCTTATCTTGTTTTCCTTTTTTATTTTGTCATGTGAAACCGTCTTCCCCATTCTGTGAGCATCTTATCCACCATTGACATACTTTAATCGGAACATTTTTTGCAACCTGACGCTACATCAGCGGTTGCGTACAAAGTCTACGGAGCGTCAAGACAATTGTCTAAGTATTTCCTAACAAAACTGGAAATGTTTCTCAGTCCCAGATTCATGTCTTATAATTTTTGCAATGAATGACCTTCATTGAGATGTTATGTGAAGAAAAAAGCAGCGTCAGGTTGTCATATTCTTTCCCTTTAATCATCACTGCGTGCTGAGTAACTAGGCAATGCGTTCTTTTGAATTTAGACCTTTTTTGTGACCTTTGTGATTGGCCTGTCATTAACTTTTGACGACCTGAAACATCTCTTCAAAGTTATGAAATGCCACATTGTCTGTTGTTTATTGATTATTCTTTACGAAAAAAATTTAATTGCTAAGCAGTTTAACATTATCACAAAAAAAATATTTAGCAAATTTCTGTGAAACGCCGAGGCAAAAAATGGCTTGTCAGTTCGGCATATGTAAACTTTTGCTTTGCTGTATATTGTTAAGTAATTATCTCGTTGTAAATGAATTTCTTCAGCGATGTTTTTCTGCTTCGATGCTCTGTAAAATTGGGCCTTGATATTAAGTGTACAGTTTGAACAAATATTTTGCTGGGCATTTACTGGGCAAAAACAGTTTTATTCAACTATGTTGCTAGTGAATTTGCTCTGCAGCTTGAAAATATGTTTGTTCAGTAAGAGGTGACCATTTCATGAATAATTCAGTAGTTTTAATCGAAAGTTATGTTTATTGATGAAAAAAAAAGAACAATGACGTCAACACCATTGTTACGGAATGTAGGCAACTACATAACCTAACCTTTCAAAGATGTCAAGTTTTTGCCTTAGCCTAGAGGATAGCAAAATTGATTATGGATTAAAAAGACCCCCGGTTCGAATCCGTTGACATACTTTTTTTTTCCCCCGACAATTTTCTTCAAATTGATCGTTTTAGAAATTTGTTTGTTTGCCCACACAATAATATTAGCTCCATTGGAGTCACAGCATAATTCATGTTATAGTCATGAATATTTATTATTGAATTGTACATTGGATTAGATTTTAAAGCATCGTGCCTGTATACATATTGCTGAAATTCATTAACATGGTAAAGAAAATTGAGTTGTCATTTTGAATGTTAGGGCCGGCCTGAAAAGTTGCCTCTTTGAAAACGAGCATGAATTATTAAAATCTCATTCTGTATGTAACACAGCTTTCCTGGCTTAATTTCTCAGTTTATTTGCTCAGAATGGATTATTGTTACTGGTCGCATCGGGCTTTTCAAAAGTTTATCCCTTGGGTTAGGTAGAAAACCAAAATGTAAAATCTGACAATTTGGGGCCAAGGTGATACAAGTTTTTCATAGATCATTTGACCGACACTGCACTTTTTTCGCTAACGGGTCATGAAACAGTCGTATACTTCGTATTGCGCATGCGTCCAACTGGTGCCCGCGCCTAGCCTCTCGTAGAAATCAATGCTCAGGTCGTCGAGCGCCAGTTGAATTTCAACAAGGGCGATGATGGCAGCTGCCGCCATGTGCACGGCATCAGACTTCGAAGACTGGCTGTCCAAACGACTAAAAAACATCAATATTGACGATGAAGTGTTCGGGTCTTACATCCTCGGGGTCGTCGACACGGACGACTCGACGGACGAGGACAAAATGGAGACACTGATGGGCATTTTATCTGAGATAACTGTGAGTAAAAAGTAGATGGCCCACATTCCGGACACACAATGACAATGTCTTGCCTAGCCCCATAAATGTGGCCTATTTACTGGACTGCCTCCGTAAACATAGGCCACACATCCACATGTACAAAAATCGTGTCGACGGAGCCAAATTTAGATTTTCACATTTAGGCTTAGTTTGTAGGGTTTTTTTGCTTTAGAAGCATACTCACCCTCTTTATAGGCTAATCAGAAAGTGCTGCCTTTTTCAGATGTATATTTTTCGTGAAATTTCCAGATTCATTTTTACACGTTCACCCACGTTTGCGTATCGAAATTTCAACATGAAATTTCACAAAAATTAGACATCTGAAAAAGGCAGCACTTTCTGATTAGCCTATAAAGAGGGTGAGTATGCTTCTAAAGCAAAAAAAACCTACAAACTAAGCCTAAATGTGAAAATCAAAAATTGGTTCCGTCGACACGATTTTTGTACATGTGGATGTGTGGCCTATGTTTACGGAGGCAGTCCAGTAAATAGGCCACATTTATGGGGCTATGTCTTGCCACGCGCGCTGAATTGGATCATGGAGGAATTCGTACACCGTACACGTGCAAAGTTATGCAGGGAAAGTCACTTCTATTATTTTTAAATAAAAATGTTAATTAGGCCTACAGTTTTATCCTTACAATGTCACTTCTTTTACACACTGAGCATTCTATTTTCAAATTCTGTAGGCCTAATCTGTGTTTTGATTTTTTGGGTAGAATTTTATAGTGATTTTTCTTCGTGGCTTTCTCAGTTTCTGCATGCTCAGTTTGTTGTTTTTGTGTTGGTGCAATGTAGATAAAGTGGGGCGCTAGAGTACTAGTAGAACTTGTTTTTTCGTTCAAATTTTGACTTTCGTCGGTCCTACTAGCACCCCAGCTGAAAGGGCCCCTACAAAAGTGCAATGTAAACGTATGTATTTCATCGTTCATGAACATCCAAAAGTTGCCAAAATCACGGTAAAGACTTGCAAAAAATACCCTATGAAGTGCCCACTGACTTCTCCGCCACGTGTCAAAGACGATTTATGAGGTATTTTTGTCAAATATGTGCTGTGATGTTTGGCAACTTTTTGAGGTGGATGTTGGTGAAATATTGTCGTGATTGTGGGGGCCTGTACAACTGACCAAAGTCAAAGTTCGAAGGGGAAAAAAAAGGAGTTTTATAGTCTATAGCACCCCAGTTACTGGGTCTAGGTGCCATGATCCCATCCAAGCCAAGGCGGTTTCTTGCATTCAACATTATTGCCATCTTCTTTTTGTTGTTATTTATTTTATTTTACCCCCAAACTCTCAAATAATCAAAAGCTTGCTTTTCTTCATACATGCCATATTATGGCCTATGCGTATACGTATACCTACATGCCATGTAGGCCCTAGGCCTATAAAAAGTATCAAATATCGTCAGCTATTGGTGAGTGCAGAAACATAAAAGTGTCTTTTTTCACTCTCTAAAAACTAAGGAACAAGGTCGCAAAGTGCACTTTTTACCTTTTCAATACATTCATTACAAAATCTATCTCGACAGGAGGAGCCAGTTGAAGAAACTTGTCAAGAAATCTTAAAGCAATGGCAAGCAACCCACAGCCAGATGAAACAAGAAAATGAAGCCATCAAAAGAGGTAGATTTCATCAATTTAAATGTGCATGGGTATGTACAGTCGAATCTCGTTAGTACAAACTCTGTTAATACAAAATTCTGGTTATAACAAACATAAAGCCTTAGTCTCGACTGTGCATTTATGTGCACAATGAATGGGACTGATGTTCCTCTTAATACAAAATTCTGATATAACAAACAATTTGGCTAGGTCCGAACGAGTTTGTATTAACAAGACTCGACTGTATACTGACTGTGTGAATGTACTTTGAAGAATTGAGGAATTAGAACGTTAAGGGTAATGCCTCCGAGACCGTATCTCTTTGATTGGCTCTCCTCTTTTCAACAGACGAACCTTCAACAGATGCCAAGATGTCTTCCATCATGGAGCGGCATGCGACCACACAGAGCAAGAAAGAGAACACCATCTCCAAAGACAATGAGGACAAGAAGAGGTTACTGGCCCGCTACGCTGAGGTCGCGGATGGTGACAGCAGATATCCTTTGACACTTTGTGTGAAATACCAAAGCGAGTTTTGACGCAGTCCAGTAATGGTGGAAAGCTAGGCCAGTAATCACAAACAGTGGACAGCTGGGATTGATCGACAGCAAAGTTGGCTACTTCTGCTCAATAGCATAGTACACAAAATTGTGGGAGCAGTAGAGGATATCCGTTAGGCCAAAAAAAAAAAGTCTCCGGTTTCTGGTATGTGCGCGCGTCGTCGTAGCCATGCGCGTCGGCAAAATGAAAAAGTTTTTTTTTCAATGAAAGATGATGTCTCAAAACCGCCAAACTCACTGGTTTGACTGGAATTCTGCTGCTGCACAATTTTAACGTGTTTTTAGATTGGGTTATGGTCGAGAATAAGCTTTATGTGGCCTCTCTGGACTCCCATACATTTGCACTAAGTTTAGTCGGGCACCATTTGCAGTCATCAGCCGACATTTGAAGCAAAAAAATCAGGTAAAAAAAAAAAAAGAAGCCGCGTCGCCGCACCACTTTTTGGGCAAGCTCCATACCAGAAACCGGAGACTTTTTTTTTTTGCCTTATAGCCAGCTGTTTGGTCTGGCTGTGTTAGTTATGTGGCATTTTTCTGTAAAATTGTTTTCATCGTTTCCTTAACTGTAGTTTTACTGATGATGTGGATGGTGAAGACGATGGACCAACAAGATCAGAGGAACGTATCCTTAATAAGCGAGTTTATTATACAGATGTAAAATCAGGGTAATATACAAAATGCGTGCATTTAATGTCTTGGTGTTTCATAAGTAAATCAGGATGGAAAAGCTACTTTGAAATCCATCTAGGGATATGAAGATTGAGCAAAATTTGGAAGGTTTAAAGCCCACTTTTGTTAGCCTTTGAATTTGCTTTGACATGTAGCCGAGTGATTTTTTTTTCACTTTCACTCGGGGATAACACACTGAAAATACAGTGTTTATGAGTCGGTGAGGGGCAAAACCTAATATTGAATTTACATCACCCCGACGCAAATTCCATCTTATGAATGGCCCCAACCACTAGACCACACTGCACTGGTGCACGGTACAGCTCTGGATAATACTATAAACATACAATTTCCGTCTGTGGGGCATACACATACAAGCACTTAACATGTGTCCCAGAAGTAATGATTATTAGTTTCCTGAAGTGGTTTTCAGTGTTGATGGCGCCCAATGTGAACAAAGACAGCGTGGACCGCGCCGTGCGCGAACAGCGCGAGAAACAGAAGGCCGACTACGAAAAGAAACGCGAGATGGATCGGCAGCAGCGCGAGAAGGATCGCCTGAAGGCGCTGGAGCGGAAAGAAAAGGAGAAGAAGAGGACGCAAAAAGGCGAGAAGCGAAGATAACAGAGGGTTACCAGGCAAGAGTAGAATGTCGTACAGTAGAACGTCGGTATAATGAACAAGAGGGGGTCTGCTAAAAATATCACTTGAAAATTGACAAGAGATGTGTACATGTGTGAACTTTCCTGCCCATTCAGTGGGAAATAATGCCAGCATATCTCTCAAATGTGCTTTTATTTACCATCTGTGCTCTGAGCGTTTGCTATTAACTGCCCAAGAAACGTTATAATCTGCACATCTAATCAAGTCTGTGCACCAAAGGGTTAAATTTTCATCAGCTGACTGAAACTGAAGGAAATTCAAGCCACGTCAATTTGTAATCATGTAACGACAATGACCAACACGGTCGGCATCATGCGGTGTCAACGTGCATGCACCAGCGGTTTATTTGGACGTGAAATTCAGGAGCCAAAGTGTGACGTTCATTATAGCCAAGTGCTTAATATAGCGGTGTTCATTATAGCGACGCTCTACTGTATTATTTAAAATAACTGCCAACTCAAAATAGGTTTTTGTAATTTGTGAAGGTTTGGTCCAGGGCCCTTTCTGACTGATATGGAACTAGTAGGGGCTAATCTGTTCCACAAAATCTTTTGATGGAAGTGCAGTTCATTGTACAAGATATAGGTCACTTGCTAAAGAATGTACGTACGTTAATCTCGTTCGAAGCGGTCATGCACACAAAAAAGAGCTGATCCATGTTAGCAGGTTAACGGTTTGCCCAATGAGAGCTGAGAACATGTTGACCGGGGTCAGTGGTAAACCAAAATCGTCCAACGAGAGCTCAAAGCGGTTAGCCTCCACCGACACCCTCGGATCGGGCCATGGGCCCATTGAGCTGAGAACATGTTGACCCCGGGTCAGTGGGTAAACCAAAATCGTCCAACGAGAGATCAAAGTGATTAGCCTCCACCGACACCCTCGGATCGGGCCATGGGCCCATTGAGCTGAGAACATGTTGACCCCGGGTCAGTGGGTAAACCAAAATCGTCCAACGAGAGCTCAAAGCGGTTAGCCTCCACCGACACCCTCGGATCGGGCCATGGGTTAGCCGTATAGCGGCTTGCCCATTGAGCTGAGAACATGTTGACCCGGGTCAGTGGGTAAACCAAAATCGTCCAACGAGAGCTCAAAGCGATTAGCCTCCACTGACACCCTCGGATCGGGCCATGGGGTAGCCGTATAGCGGCTTGCCATGGGTTAGCCGGTTAGCGGCTTGCCCATTGAGCTGAGAACATGTTGACCCGGGTCAGTGGGTAAACCAAAATCGTCCAACGAGAGCTCAAAGCGGTTAGCCTCCACCGACACCCTCGGATCGGGCCATGGGCCCATTGAGCTGAGAACATGTTGACCCCGGGTCAGTGGGTAAACCAAAATCGTCCAACGAGAGCTCAAAGCGGTTAGCCTCCACCGACACCCTCGGATCGGGCCATGGGTTAGCCGTAAAGCGGCTTGCCCATTGAGCTGAGAACATGTTGACCCGGGTCAGTGGGTAAACCAAAATCGTCCAACGAGAGCTCAAAACGGTTAGCCTCCACTGACACCCTCGGATCGGGCCATGGGTTAGCTGGTTAGCGGCTTGTCCATTGAGCTGAGAACATGTTGACCCGGGTCAGTGGGTAAACCAAAATCGTCCAACGAGAGCTCAAAGCGGTTAGCCTCCACCGACACCCTCGGATCGGGCCATGGGTTAGCCGGTTAGCGGCTTGCCCATTGAGCTGAGAACATGTTGACCCGGGTCAGTGGGTAAACCAAAATCAACCAATGAGAGCTCAAAGCGATTAGCCGCCAGCGACACCCTCGGATCGGGCCATGGGTTACAAAGGAAGTATCGCATGTGTATGAACAATGGATGACCATTCGCGAGTTTTATGTGCGGGGGGCACAGTGCGCGAACTATACAACTTATTTTATAGGGTTTGCTCAATGACGGCCATCTCTGTAGAAGAGCTGCAACTGCATATTTTACGCAATCAAGCACGCATTGGCAGAGTTGAAAATGTTCACAACACGCGCGTTTATTTCTCGAAATGTATTCGAAATACGACGCAGCCGATGCGCATTATGCAAGTTGACGCTCGAAATGCCGATGCACGTGGATGGTCTGTAGGAAATGACGTCATTTCAATGAGACCTATTTTTGTGTGTGAGCAAACCTCTGTTGTCTTAACATGAATTAATGACAGATTAATTATATATTTATTGCTCAACCATTCTGCTTCCTCAGTGAGCGTAGAGAACAGTCTTTGTGAATTTTACAAAATGCTGAGATAACCTGTCGGAGTTCTACTTAAAAATCAGGTGCACATCTTTTCTTACGAACGGTAGCCTGGCGCCCAATTATTTTTGTGTTCATTGGGTTGCCTTGGTACACTGTCTTGATTGGCAACAATTGATAATTTGGAAATCGCAGGCTAGCTGAGGCTAATTTATCACATAATCTGCGCTGCATGTTTAAAAACAAATGCGTCAAGGTGTGACAAATGCATGTCTAAATCAGTGGAATAAAAATGATTATGTCATCTAAATAAATCATCACAGTCTCAAAGCACATGTCACTGTCCGAGACACCGCTGCATTGGTCGTTGAAAAGCAGCAGGGGCATTGGAAAGTTCGACAGGGAGACGTGTGTATTCATACACAAGGGGGACGGTAAACCACTCCCCACTTTGGCAACTCCAAACATTTATTTTTTTTTCAAAAGCTTGATAAAATATGGTAAGGGCCTTTTCTGGAACCACACTTTTCTCGCAGGGAGCGAGAAATGACGTGCTATGAGCCTCAAGGCGTTTAGGATGGAACAGTGACATGGTTCTCAATTTGTTTCTGAGAGCGCAACAGCGAATCTGCGACAGTTTTTTTTTTCCTTTTGTTGTCTTTTGAATCAACATTACGAACCTCTTAAAGTACATTGTTGTAAAAGATGTACGCTGAAATACCTGGCTCCACCAAGGGCTTGTGAGGGGGGGGGGGGGGGCTGGGTGGGGGGCTGGGGGGGGGGGTGGAAAACCTCGATTCTTGTATGGTGAGTTGACCTCGTACGAAGGATCTTTAGATGAAAGGATTATCAACAAGATTTCAACAATGAGGATTTTCACTCTCGTCTTGTCTACCTTCACATCCGGGTCAGCAAACTTTCCTCGTAATTGCACCAAATTCTGGATTCTGTCCCAGAATCTTTTACATCCAAATTCCATCTTCTCTGTCCCTGTCATCGTTTTAAGACCTAAAATATTAATAACAAACTCCATCTCAATCTCTATATCATTTGTTCTCATCGGCTGATGTAGTTCTACCACGACCCACGCTCAGCCCAAATTTCACAACTTTTAATTATTAAATTCTTACATGCGGCTCTTCTTTTGAACCTCTTCGTCCTCGGTATTGAGGTCCGACGTTTCCTCTGCTTCAGCTTGGTCCTGCCTTCTTCATCGATTTCTTCACGACAGTAAATGTAAAAGCAGCAACAGTTGAGTACCGGTACATGTGCCTTCTCATAGCCTACCCTTACCCGTACTGTACCCTTACCCGACCCATGTTGTATATTCACACTATGTGGACCAAGTACTTGAACTATTTGTAGAGAAACTAGACATGACAAGTGAGTATCAATGAATGGTTCACATACCTCGTCCTTTAAAGATGTCTCAAGGTAGACTCTGACTTTCTTCGTGAATCTGTTTAACATAAATTTTGCATCTAGTAAAATCGGATGCAAAAAAATTTAGAACAACATTTGATTTCATCCAGTTGCCTGGTAGGCCTATACAGTCAGATCGGTGATGAGCTGAACAATACTTAAGCCAACATTTTAAAAATGTTGTGTTGCCTCACTTGAAAAATATCAGTAGGTTTGGTTGGTAGTTGCCCTCTTCAAGCATGCATGTACATAAAATGTACAATTCCGATTAATTAGGGGCCCGAAAGTTAACGCCTTTATGTTCGTGTGCATAAAGTCAATGGCATTACGATGAAATCCAAGATGGCAGCGCCCATGGAACGGCATTTTCTGGGTTGGGCACGGGTTAAGTTTAGTACCGGGTATAAGCCCCACTGGCATCGATAACATCCTGGCATCGCCTTGACATCGACCCCAGGAGATTGGTGATGACTTGTCGGTCCATTCCCTCCCAAATCCGACTGATAATCTGGAACAATTGATCTTTATGGCCGATCAAATAGTGGGCAGCTGGTAGCATGGTCCCCCTGGGGATGTCGATATAGACGACCGCGTTGATGTTCTCGGTCACGCGCACCAGGCTGCCAGTACCAGCGGAGCTCATGCAGCCCCATACCATAATCCCCGAGCCTCCATGCTTGACACTGGGAACAACGCAGCACTCCTTAAACTCCTCCCCAACTGTTCTCCGAACATAAATCCTGCCATCGGACTGGAAGAGCTGAAACCTTGACTCGTCCGACCATAACACCCTGATTCATCTATGCTCAGGCTTACTGACGACAATTCCAGGCTTGGTATGGGCGAAGGGGGTTGCACTCTCAACCCTGGAACAGGCGATGATGCGCGCTTTCTTTTCCTCTTGGGTTCTGGAATAGTACCGTCGGACTCCTCATCCGAAGATGTTAACACCACTTGGGTCCTGTACCTGCAAAAAATAGTGTGCATAAATAGCTCTTTATCCAAATTATAAGACCAGGATCCCATTTTTGAGCGTGGTCCTGCCTTCTTCATAGGTTTCTTCACAAGTAAAAGTAGCAGAAGTTGAGTCATATATGGGCCTTCTCATAGATTTCTCAAAAGAAATATCGCTCAAAAACAATGACACTAAAGTAGCTGTATACTAGCCTTGAGTGCAAGGCTGTGGCCAGCCATAGCCTATCCATACCGGACCTCTTCATCCTTGGTATTGAGGTCAGATGTTTCCTCGGCCTTCTTCAGTTTTATTCTGCCTTCTTCATAGATTTCTTCACAACAGTAAAAGTAAGAGCAGCAGAAGTTGAGTACTGCATATGTGCCTTCTCATAGATTTCTAACATAACTTCGACATAATTTTCTTATTAAATATGAACACAGCAAGAAAACATTTACAGTATCTGTCCATCATAAACCAAACAGCATCACATTTTTTTTCAAGCCCTCCGCAGAGGCAACATTCAAACCACAAACTGCCCAAACAAAATTTACATACACATTTTGGCATCTTCATTGTCAGATTGTCACATTACTTGAGCTTATACTTGAGTCAACAAGATTGTTGGTTATTCTGAACATCATATTAAGTCTGATGGAGAGATAACATGCATCAAGACTTGGCCACTCCCAAGTGTTGAGCATCTGGGTAACACTTGCCTCTCTAGAAAAGTTCCTAGTAGACATCTGCCGGGAAACCTGAGTTGGTTAATTTCTGACTTGCGACTCTTCTTTTGAGTTTCTTCATTCTCCATATTGAGGTCTGATGTTTCCTCCGCTTTGTGAGCTGGCTCCTGCCTCCTTCATAGATTTCTTCCTAGAGTATAAGTAGAAGCAGCAGCTATTGACGGTGTTGAGATCCTGACCAGTTTTTTGTATTCTTCCGCTCTGTGATTCTCACTTCTGCGAGATCAACAGTGTAAAGAGTCCAACATCATCATCATCATCCTTCGACCGCGGCCAAGATGGAATTCACAATGTCCTGCCTTCTTCATAGATTTCTTCAA